GGCAGAGATTTCTGTCTCTTCTGTTCGCAGCTGTACCCCCCACAGTACCTAGGATGTGCCAATGCCTGGCACAAAGTAGGCGCTCAAGAAATACTTGATGGGCCGGGCGCGGTGGCTCACGCCTGTAATCCTAGCACTCTGGGAGGCTGAGGCGGGCGGATTGCTCGAGGTCAGGAGTTCGAAACCAGCCTGAGCAAGAGTGAGACCCCCGTCTCTACTATAAAATTAGAAAGAAATTAATTGGCCAACTAATATACATAGAAAAAATTAGCCGGGCATGGTGGCACATGCCTGTAGTCCCAGCTACTCGGGAGGCTGAGGCAGGAGGATCGCTTGAGCCCAGGAGTCTGAGGTTGCTGTGAGCTAGGCTGACGCCACGGCACTCACTCTAGCCTGGGCAACAAAGTGAGACTCTATCTCAAAAAAAAAAAAAAAAAAAAGAAATACTTGATGAAGGAATGAATGTACACAATGGAATACTATATGGCTGTTAAAAATGGAATGAGGTAAATTTCTATATAGAACCATCACCAAGGTGTAGCACTGGGTCAAAAGAGAAAGAAATGTGGAATATATATGGCGTGAGCAAGAATGAGTCCAAATTACCTGGAGGGCTTGTTAAAAACCGAACTACTGAGTCCCACTTCCAGAGCTTTCGATTTCAGTCTGGAATCGAGCTCAAGAATTTGCACGTCTAACAAGTTCTATGTGACGTGCCGCTGCCGGTCCCGCGGCCACACTTTGAGAACCACTGGCATAGTCTCTGGGACTTCACCCAAGAACCCTGAATTTGTAAAAAGCACACCTCTTACAAAAACTCTACATTTTTTGGGTCTGTAAACTATTTCTGGGAGTAGATACATTGGAAAAGTTCTGGAAGGACTCACACCAAGGTGACAATAGTGACTTCAGAGGAGAGGCTGGGTTTAGGGGGTCAAGGGAGGATTGGACGGTAGAGTGAAGTATTTATAAAGGCATGACTTGGGACCACATTCCCAGGCATCAAACTCAGCCCTGCCACTTCCCAGCTGTGTGACCTTGGATGGGTGACGTCACCTCTCTGGGCCTCAGTTTCCTCATTTGTAACATGGGCATCATATGACCTCCATCTCTTATGGAATTGTTGCCAGGAGTAAATGAGCTAAAACAGCAGTTCCTTTTAACACTTAATAAATGCTAGCTTGTATTATCACATGAAAGCTATGCATTTCTTACAAGGCAAATAGAAAATCATGTTTTACTTGCGTAATTAAAAGTAAATGTAAAAGGGATGGGTGTGGTGGCTCGAGCTATAATCCCAGCACTCTGAGAGGGGGAGGCCGGAGGATCACTTGAGGCCAGGAGTTCGAGACCAGCCTCCTGGGCAATAGCAAGACCCCATCTTTACAAAAAATGAAAAAATTAGGTATGGTGGCATGTGCTCGTAGTCCCATTTACTCCGGAGGCTGAGGCAGCAAGATTGCTTGGGCCCAGGAATTTGAGGTTACAGCGAGCTATGATCATACCATTGCACACCAGCCTGGGTGACAGAGCTAGACCCTGTCTCTAAAAAAAAAAAGTAATAAATAAATAAATATGAAAGGGTGGATTTTTTTGGTAAGTTCTGCAGGTCTATCTAATTTCAGTTCTTCCACTAAGAGAAGCAGCAGGAGTGAGGGGGACAGACAGGAGAGACCTCCTCCTCCCCAGTGCCCAGTGCCTCCCTAATATCCCTCCCACACCCCTCTATATGTGAGTCTGACCTCATTCCTTCCAGCTGCAAAAGGATGAATCTTTAAAAGATCAGAAGGTCCTTGGCCTGAATTGGGCTCCCTGCCTTCCCGCAATACCCCCCTCTTTTTTTCTGCAAGCCCTTCCACTAGTGGACCAGCCAGCTCAGCCAGGCTTAGCAAGGGTGCGGTTAGGACCCGTGGGGACCCCTTTGCCCAAACTTCTCCCACCTTATCTGTACCTCACATGCCCCTAGTGGGTGTCCGATGCCCTTTTATCTCTGTTAGGAAGTCCTTCTGCAAGTCTAACCTAAATCCTTCTTGCTGGGAGGAACCTTATCCCTTCTTGGGAGCAAGCAGGACGCAGGGAGCCCCTGTTCCCACCCAGGATTCTAGCCTCTGCTCTCTGAGACACCCCTAGTCTTTGCCTGGCAGCTCCATCGTCCCTATTAGAAAGTAATCAAGTCTAGCTTTAGTCTTTCTTGCTTCAAAGGGAGTGTATGCCTGAGTGGGGGGTGGGGGTGGGGGGTAAGTGTCATACGGGCTCAGGGATCAGAGGAGGCCCCCACCCCCTCTCTTCAGAAGGACCCAGGAACCCCCAACGCTAGAGGAGTTTATATTTAGCGCTTCTCCACTCCTCCCTCAGTGCCGAGTGCCGCTGTCTCCCTCCCCCCGCCTGCCACCGCCTCCTCCCTGGTGCTGGGACGAGCTTTGCCTAGAGACTGGGGGGTGGGGGGAGCCGCCCCACTACCACCTCGCGCCGGCGGGACCCAGGGCTGGCGGGAGGGGCACAGAGGGGCAGAGATGGGGAAGGGGAAGGGCAGGGAGCCGGGAGGCCGAGGGGCAGCTGGGAAGGACACAGCTAGCCTGTCCTCGTGCCTCCTTCTCCTCATCAGGAGGGGAGCCACCGTCACAGCCCAGGCAGCTTGGGGTGGGGGGAGCCGGTGAGGGCCCCCACAATCCGTCTCTAACTTTGGGAGCGGGTGGGGCCTCCCACAGCTGTTTCTGTTTCCAGAGAAGAATGTGCGGGGTCCCACTCCCGAGGGGGGAGGGGCTGGGCGTGCAGCCCCGGAGTCTGGCTCCAGTCCTCTCCCCCACTCCCCATCTGGGGAGGGGCAGTCGGGGTCAGCAGCCGCGAGAGCCCCCTCCGCCGCCACCCCGGCTCAGGTTTCCCCAAACGGGAAGCTCTGACCACACACAGGCTTGGGGATGGGAACTGCAAGTGGAGCTGGGGTCTGTGGGCTGGGGGGAGGGGACGAGACTGGGACGTGGGGGCAGGAATGCAAGAAAGGAAGACCAGGGAGACGGACCTAGAGGGACACAGAGAGACGGCGACAGAGAGACAGCATTAAGAAAGAGAAGCAGACACAGAAAGTCACCGAGATCTGGCAGTAGGGAGAGAGTGAGGGAAGCCCAGGACTGGTTGGGAGACTCAAGGAATGACATAGAAAGGGGGACAGGATAGTGTCGCTTTGAGTCGTCCTGAAGACCTCTGCTCATCTTCCACACTTAGCGCGAACCCAGAGTCCAGAAGTCAGACCCCAGTGCTGCCTCAACCTGCCTCCTCTTGGGTTATGGAGGGCTGGGACCAGGTAGGAAAGAAGGGAAATGTCACCGAAGAGTCAAGATGGGGGGGGGGCTTAAGGGACTGTGAGCTTCCTCTCAGCAGTGGTCCCTCCCTCAGGAGGCCCTAAGATCCCCTTTCCCACCCCGCCCCCTCCGGAGATCTCCAAGCACACCAGGACTTAGGGAAGATGGAGCCCTGCTAGCGGGGCCCAGAGAAGGGCATGCTTGGATCCTGGCTGTGTGACCTTGGGTGAGTCACTTGTTCTCTCCGAGCCTCGATTTCTTTCTCTGTAAAATGGGGACTATCACCCCCTCCCTCCCAAGCTGCAAGACGGCAATGCATCCAAAGTACCTGGACCCGGGCTTGACGCATACTTGGCCCCCAGAAGGATTTTCTCTGGAAGGGGTATAGGGGGTGGGGTCTATCGTTTTCACGGGGCCCCAGCAGAAGCGATGCTGTCCCCCCACCCCCTGATTTGGGGGCGAGGAGGCCAGGTCCCGCCCGCCGCCCGAACTCCGGGGTCTCCAGCCCCACCCCCTGTCCTTTCCCACTCCCTGCCTACCCGCCCCACCCCCCACGGGTGTCTGAGCATCCAACCGAGACAGACAGACAGACGCAGGCGGGGGGTGGAGGGAGGGACGGACGGACAGGCGGCCCCTTACCAGCTGCTCCTCCAGGGCTGCTGCGGCCCGGCGCGCTGCCGCCGCATCTTCATCCTCGTCGGCGTCCTCCTCGTCCTCGGCCTCGGCGCCCCCCATTCCGGGCTGGGCCAGCCGCAGCGCCTGCTGCACGCGGTACTCCTGCCTCTCCCGGAGCCAGTGCAACTCGCAGAGCCCGGCCAGGCTACCCTCCAGCCAGCCCCGCAGCCGGCCCCGCTCGGGGCTCACCGGGAACGAGAAGGCCCGGATCATGGCTGCGGCCCCCCGCCCCAGCCCGGCCGGGCCCCGCGGCCACCCCTCTCCCGGTCCCACCTCCCCGCCCCAGCAGCCAGCCTGCCTGCCTGCCCGCCCGCCCGCTGGCCGGGCTGTCACCGTCTCATCTGCATAGGCGCCCGCCCATTGGGCCGCCCACCCGCGCCTTATCTGCATGGCCACGCCCCCGGCGACAGAGCAACCGCCGCCTATTGGCGGGTGTCCTCCCTTACGACAATGCTGGGCCGTGCACTAGCACCGCCCAACACGACGCATGCTCGCAGCTGCCTACTCGCTCTGCTCGCCACGCTCCCCCCGCCCCCCAGTGCAAGAGCTTCTGGGCCCGGGCCACGCCCCCCACGCGTCACAATGAAACAAGTCCGCCCTTGCTTCAACACCATTGGTCTGTGCCTCCCCGGTCCCGCAGCGGGTTCCGCCCTCTTGCGGGCGAGCTCTGGCTACCATTGGACTGTCCGGCGGGAGGGGACGGGGAATCTATAAATAGAGAAGGGATCCACGTGACAGTTTAGCAGCTGCTCCTACTTCCCCTGGGCCCCCCCAGCCTTTAGCTTCTGAGGCTGCGCAGGGGGAGAAAAGGGTTAGAGGGGTCGACCCTGAATTAGCGTCCGCTTCAGGAAGCCTTCCCAGACGCCAAGCTGTGGACGCGACGGACATCCTCCGATAAATTATGCTCCCAGGCCGGGCCGGCGTCACGGTGCTGGGACCCGCCGAGAAAGGCCCTCGTGCTTGCTTTAACGTTCCGCTACTGCTGTCCTGACATTCTTATTTTTTGAGCGAGGGACGCCGCATTTTCATTCTGCACTGGGCCGGTCAAATTGTGTAGCTGGTCTTGCTTGTGAGAGTGTAAGATCGGTTGTATCCCAAATTCTGGAACTCTAAAAGCCTGAGTGGAAGATTGTATGATTTGACCAGAACAGACTCGAAGCGGCTTTGTCTCCCAGGTGCTGTGAGGCTGTGTTCTCATCGTTCTCCCAGTGCAGGGGCCTTTGTTCGACGTTCTGAGAGGCTTTGTTCTCGGCCTTCTATGATGCTCTGTTCTCGACGTTCCGTGGTCCTGCGAGTCTGAGCCTGACGTTCGTTTCCGAGGCTTCCTCCTTTCGCCCCAGGCTCCGCGAGCAGGGCTGGCGCACCCCCCGGCGGCCAGCCTGTGTCACTACGTGGAGCGTGCCTCCCTACAGCCTGCAAGAGCTGGCTCTGGTATTCATTCATACCCATTTCTCAGACAGACCTTGACTGTCCCAAAGCCAGACCCCAGAAGATCCTGCGAGGACGTCCCTCTTTTATGATGCCCTGTGCATTAAGTGACCTTCTGGTGGTGACATGGAAAGGCAGTGGCAGTGGTAGAGAGCAAAGCCTCTGAAGCCAGACTTCTTAAGGGGTGAGTAACAACTCTGCCACTTTCCAGCTGCGTGACCTTGGGAAACTCACTTAACCTCTCTGTGCCACGGCTTCTCCGTCTGTATAATGGGGTCATAATACTGTCTACCTCATAGAGTTGTTCCGAGGATTAAGTGAAATTTGCCAAGTACTTGGAGCAGCGGTCTTCCGTGGATAAAAAGCCACAGAGGGGTTTGATAAATAAGAAAAAAAGTAACCTAGTGAGTCCCAGGGAGAAGAATGAGTTGGACTTTAGCAGAGACAAACCTTATGCAGTCTTCCTGTTGTTCACAGTCGGCCTAGACTGCATTCATTTTCCAACAGCAGGGAGAGAATCGAGGATTGAGGATCGGGTCTGGATTGCTTACAGCAAGGCTTTCTAAGTAGTGTCTGGGGTGAAGTCGGGATTGGTTTTTCATCCCTGCTGTTTGTACAAGACCATTTGAGCCATTTGCTGAGTAGAATGTTGCATCTGCAATTGATTTAGAATTCTGGTCACCAGGCATTTGAAGATGGATATTCAGAGGAAGATAAATCAAAAGAATAAGGGAGTAAAACCAAGATTTGAGGCCACATGAGAGGATTTCAAGGAGGGGAAGGGACATCCTTGGTTGGTGGAGTCAGAAGAGCCTTGGCAATTCCGAAGATTTCTTTTTTGGCTTCTTGATGTTATTAATGATGACGATGATATTGAAAGAGTTCTTGAGAATGGACATGCAACAGTTGCCTCTATACCAGCTAATTTTTAGAACAAAACTTAGCAAAAGAAAAAGAAAAAAAATGAAAAGAGAAACAGTTGCTTCCAAATATGGCACATGGTTTCCTCTCCTGGAAGCTGCATGCCCAATGCCAGCTGATTGTAAAGATCCCTTGTTGTGTCCCCAAATTCCCTAGCCTATGTGAGGCAGTCGATTGTGTTGGTCACCTCTTGGGGAAGTGAAGCATAAAAGACGCAGATATTGCTGCAGATTCCTTGGGTAGCCCAGAGAGCAGTGCCCTGGATACAAATGTTACCCAGACATGGCCTGAGGCCATACTTAGCTCATCAGAGTTTACTCCCAGGCATGCTGCTTTGGATACTAAGGAAAAAGGAAGAGCGCAGTCATCCTGGATCTTATATCTGTGCCATGGTTGTAGCCTACACAGGGTTTGGCAGATCTCTTACATCTGTGAGGAGGTGGGGTTTGAAAGGAGAAAGAGTGGGCTGGGCACGGTGGCTCACGCCTGTGATCCTAGCACTCTGCGAGGCCGAGGCAGGGATCACTTGAGGTCAGGAGTTCGAGACCAGCCTGAACAAGAGCAAGACCCCATCTCTACTAAAAATAGAAAGAAATTAATTGGCCAGCTAATATATGTAGAAAAAAAACTAAAGCTAGGCATGGTGGCTCACGCCTGTAATCCTAGCACTCTGGGAGGCCAAGGCGGACAGATTGCTTAAGGTCAGGAGTTCAAAACCAGCCTGAGCAGGAGCGAGATCCCGTCTCTACTATAAAATAGAAATTAATTGGCCAACTAATATACATAGAAAAAATTAGCCGGACATGGTGGCGCATGCCTGTAGTCCCAGCTACTCAGGAAGCTGAGGCAGCAGGATTGCTCGAGCCCAGGAGTTTGAGGTTGCTGTGAGCTAGGCTGATGCCATGGCACTCACTCTAGCCTGGGCAACAAAGTGAGACTCTTTCTCAAAAAAGAGAAAAGAATTATCCAGGTGTGGTGGTGCATGCCTGTAGTCCCAGCTACTTGGGAGCCTGAGGCAGGAGGATCACTTGAGCCCAGGAGTTTGAGGCTGCTGTGAGGACACCATGGAACCCAACCCCGGGCGACAGAGCAAGACTCTGTCTCAAAAGAAAGAAAGAAAGAGAGAGAGAGGGAGGGAGGGAGGGAGGAAAGGGAAGAAAGGAAGGAAACGAAGAAAGGAAGGAAAGAAAAGAAGGAAAAGGAAGGGAAGAAAGGGAAGAAAGAAAGGGAAGGAAGGAAGGAAGGAAGGAAGGAAGGAAGGAAGGAAGGAAGGAAGGAAGGAAGGAGAGAGAAAGAGTGAAGTTTAGTATTGATAGAATGATGGGGAATTGGAAATCTGATCAGTGCCAGTGTGCCTGGGAAGGTGACAGGAGCCAGTCCAGATGGTAAGTAGGTACCAGTATACCAGATCTCCACAATTAAAGCATGCAGTCTCGCGGGCAATCCATGACTCACGGGAAAAATTGTCTAGTTTTTCTGAGTGGTCAGAAAACAGATGTTCAGATGTTGTTCACACATGGAAAACCAAGAAGAAGATGTAGGAACAGGACTGTGACAATGAGAGGGGTCACAAGGGGAGCAACACCACTGATAACGAAAAAAATGGTCAGTGGCACCTGTTGGTCCGGGATTGGAAAGATTTTAGTAGCTGGAGAAACTGAGCTCAGAGAGGAGGAGATTCTCACCATTAGGGATTTTTTTTTTTTTTTTTTTTTTTTTATACAGAGTCTCACTCTGTTGTCTGGGCTAGAGTGCCGTGGCGTCAACCTAGCTCACAGCAACCTCAAACTCCTGGGCTCCAGTGATCCTCCTGCCTCAGCCTCCTCAGTAGCTGGGACTATAGGCATGCGCCACCATGCCCAGCTAATTTTTTTCTATATATTTTTAGTTGGCTAATTAATTTCTTTCTATTTTTAGTAGAGATGGGGTCTTGCTCAGGCTGGTCTCGAACTCTTGACCTTGAGCGATCTACCCACCTCAGCCTCCCAGGGTGGTAGGATTACAGGCGTGAGCCACCTTGCCCTGCCTATTAGGGTTTGTTGTAGTGTCATTTGCTGCATAAAAGTTGTAATTACAGAGACTGAGTCCCTTGAAGGGGCTGTTATGAAGAAAAGAAATCCTGATTTATTCATGATAGGGATGGGAAGAGGTTCCTGGGACAATCAACGGTGAGTTGGGAGGGGTCTTGGAGGCAGGTGCGTGGGACAGCTACACACAGCGGCTTTGGCGAGGTGAGTGGAAGGGATGGGGACTGAGGGAAGTGACTTGTGTCGGGAAGGGGGAAAGAAAGCAACAGTCATGATTGAAATCGTAAGACTCAGTGAGCATTTCTGCAAAAGTAAGCCAGAGGTTTCCTTTGCAGGCTGGAAGGTAGACTAGGGAGGGGAGATGTGTCGTTTGCAAAGAAACAGAGGTTAAAGCAGGAGAATCATAATATTAGGGCATATAATCAAAAGTCAGTTATGAAGAATGTGACAGAAAAGCATAAGTGTCATGATGAGAAGCGTGCACAGGACGGTCAGAGTGGATATTAAAAGGGGAAATCAGGGCCAGGCACAGTAGCTCACGCCTGTAATCGTAATCCTAGCACTCTGGGAGGCTGAGGCGGGCAGATTGCTCAAGGTCTGGAGTTCAAAACCAGCCTGAGCAAGAGAGAGACCCCCGTCTCTACTAAAAATAGAAAGAAATTAATTGGCCAACTAAAAATATATAGAAAAAATTAGCCGGGCATGGTGGCGCGTGCCTGTAGTCCCAGCTACTCGGGAGGCTGGGGCAGAAGGATCACTTGAGGCCAGGAGTTTGAGGTTGCTGTGAGCTATGATGATGCCATGGCACCCAGGGGGATGAGTGAGACTCTGTCCCTAAATCAATTAATTAATTAAAAGTGGAGTTCTTATTCCAGAAGGAAGCTGGCTACCTTGTGATGTCATACTTGCCCCAAGGCTCCTGGGATAGCTATTTGCTTTTTTGGCCTCGTCTGCTTCTAGGATCCCTGAAAGAGCCTTTATTTGAGGTCTCCAGTGGGAGTGGATTCCATTCAGCCAGCCCAGGGCTTCTGTCTCCCCAGCTTTGAGATGAGAACTCAGGGCAGGACACCTGCAGTTTGCACCAGTGTTCGTGCAGAGAGGACACTGTAGGTAGGGTCCGTTCCATCTGGGTTCAAGGTTAGTCTTCCTGTAATGTCTTTTCTTTTCCTTTTTTTGAGACAAAGTCTCACTTTGTTGCCCAGGCTAGAGTGAGTGCCGTGGTGTCAGCCTAGCTCACAGCAACCTCAAACTCCCGGGCTCAAGCAATCCTCCTGCCTCAGCCTCCCGAGTAGCTGGGACTACAGGCATGCGCCACCATGCCCGGCTAATTTTTTGTATATATTTTTAGTTGGTCGATTAATTTCTTTCTATTTTTAGTAGAGACGGGGTCTCGCTCAGGGTGGTTTCGAACTCCTGACCTCGAGCAATCTGCCCGCCTCAGCCTCTCGGAGTGCTAGGATTACAGGCGTGAGCCACCGCGCCTGGCCCCATTGCAGACTTCTGACCTCCAGAAATCTGAGATAATAAATTGGTATTGTTTTAAGCCACTGCATTCGTGATACTTTGTCACAGCAGTGTATTAGTTTGCTGGGGCAGCCAGAATATAATATCACAAACTGTACAGCTTAAACGACAGAAATTCATTTCCGCCCAGTTCTGGAAGCAAGAAGTCCGAGATGAAGGTGTCTGCAGGTTGGGTTTCCTCTGTGGTCTCCTTGGTGTGCAGATGGCCACCTCCTCGCTGTCTCCCCACATGGGTTCTGGTGGTGTGTGTGCATTTCTGGTGTCTTTGTTTGTCTTAACTGCCTCTTCTTCTAAGGCCACCAGTCAGATTGAGTTGAGACCCTCTCTAACGGCTTCATTTTAACTTAATTACCTCTGCCAAGCCTCTGTCTCCAAATATACTCACATTCTGAGAGACTGGGGGTTAGGTCTTCAACATATAAATTTGGGGGGTACAAAAAGCAGCCCCTCACAAGCAGCAATATAAATGTAATACCTGTGGTCATGCAGGAACCAAAAGAAGAATCTTGGGCCAAGGTAAGTCTGATTCTTCAGTTAGTTTGGCAAGTTTGAGTTCGAGGAGTCTGAATTGGCCTGTTCTGTTTTCCCTAATGATCACAGGCAACATGAACAAAGGGATTTCTGTGAAATAAATAGAGTGCCCGCCGGCTGTCCCCAATTCCCCTGCCTGTGACATGAGAGCCTCTATCACTGGAGAGGGACAGAGAATGCCCCAAGTACGGAAGATTCTAGTAAAACATTGGCCATAACCCGTTTCCATGGGAAAACTTCTAATCATCTAGAAAATATGCATATTATTGTCAGGACGTAATCCTACCCATGGGATTTTGGAAGCTGAATGAAGTGATTTTTGCCAGTGTGGAAAGGGGCATTCAAAGGCCTGTTCCTTCCCTCAGCCCGCTGTTACAGGATCGTGGTTTTGGTAGCTGGGACACCCAAGGACACTTGTTCAAGATAAGGGTTGAAGTTTCCCCGCTATGGTTCAGGAAGGAGGTCCTTGATTTTTCCTTTCTGCAACGTGTGACTCTGTTAAGGCCATAGGCCGAATTTCAGGTGAGGGACTCCAGGGAGACCGGGCAGCTGTTCCAAAGCCCATCTGAGTGGATAAAACGTCCAGCTTCCAAATAGCCTTTTCAGTGTCAGGGTCCTTAAATTGTGAGACTTGGAAATCTTCGAGCAGAGTGTCAGGTGGGAGATGGAGCGGATGAGGAAGTAAAGTGGGGTGAGATGATGGGAGGGGGCGCGTAGCACTTCCCGTGTGTCCCCCAGCTCAGGAACAATTTCTCGTAACTTCCGGAATCTGGCTACTGGTCCATACCTCAATCTTTTTTTTTTTTTTTTTTTTTTTTGAGACAGAGTCTCACTCTGTTGTCCAGGCTAGAGTGAGTGCTGTGGCGTCAGCCTAGCTTACAGCAACCTCCAACTCCTGGGCTCAAGCGATCCTTCTGCCTCAGCCTCCCGAGTAGCTGGGACTATAGGCATGTGCCACCATGCCCGGCTAATTTTTTCTATATAATTAGTTGGCCAATTAATTTCTTTCTATTTATAGTAGAGATGGGGTCTCGCTCTTGCTCAGGCTGGTTTCGAACTCCTGACCTCGAGCAATCCTCCCGCCTCGGCCTCCCAGAGTGCTAGGATTACAGGCGTGAGCCACCACGCCTGGCCTGGACTTTTTGTCTTGAATGGCTTAGGTAAGACCCTAAGCTTGCCTTGGGTGGAGTTGATTTTATCTTTCATGCCATCCTCAAGATGTTGGACTACCTCCCAGAGTTCTGTAATCGACCCATTTCACCAGGAAGCCTTGGTTTTTTGTTTTTTTTTTGAAGCCTTGGTTTTGAATCATGTCTCTGATCTCTGGTCTCAGGATGTTAGCAAAACTAGTGGCCAAGGCGGAAACAGATAGTCTCTTTCTACACGTTTTCTAGCCTGGGTCTGTCAGTGGCGGTGGATTCATTCTTCTGCTGTCTACGCTCCTGGATCTTAGACTAACTAAGGGATAGGCATTGGGGGTGGAGTCTAAGACACTTTCTCCAATAGTATCAGCTCTACGCCTCAGAGGTGTCCTGGCTCATTTGGAAATCCTCATTTCCTGAGGCATTCAGCTTTTTCAACTCCAAGAGCTGTAGCTCCAGAACCGACCAGCAGATGGACAAGCTGATAGAAATTGGAATGTCCCAGAGAGGAAGCTCCCAGTACTAGCATAAATTGGCTGCTAAATTCTTCCCTGTTTCTATGGGGGTCAGGCAAGCCTTTGTGGATACCTGTTCCCTCCAGTCTGTTCCCCCTGCCTACAATCTCTCAAGGCCAAGATGAAGCTTAAGAGGTCAGCCCAGACCACCCGCCCTCCCTGACCCCCAAGCTGTCTCTAGGCTGCCCCTGCCTCCCGGGCTGCCCCATCTCAGCCACTTTGGGTCATCACTGTCCAGAAACAGGTGTTTCTCTCCACTGGATGGTAAACCCCCAGGCTTTCTTGGTCACCACTGTGTCCCCAGCATCACTCAGCACAGTGAGACGAATGAATGAGTGAATGAGCACACTCAGTGTGTAGAGAAGTGATCACATCAATATTAAAAATATATTGAATATTATGTATCAGTTTTCTGTGGACCAGGCTTGTGCCAAGTGCATTGTTACTAGTAGCTGTGATTACTAGTAACACTACCAAATAAGGAATTAATCATCACAAACCATGAGAGCACATGCTTTTCTCCAAGTCCTCCACCCTCCAGTCATGTTTCTTCCATCTCTCCCCTGTTTCCAACTCTTCTTCCATCACGCTTCCCTCTCCTCTCTAGGATACCTCCATACCTTTCCCCCTTCCTCAGTCTTCTCTCCTAGCAGTTCTCTTTTTTGAGACAGAGTCTCACTTTGTTGCCCAGGCTAGAGTGAATGCCGTGGCATCAGCCTAGCTCACAGCAACCTCAAACTCCTGGGCTCAAGTGATCCTACTAGTAGCCTCAGCCTCCTGAGTAGCTGGGACTACAGGCATGCGCCACCATGCCTGGCTAATTTTTTCTATATATATATTAGTTGGCCAATTAATTTCTTTGTATTTATAGTAGAGACGGGGTCTCGCTCTTGCTCAGGCTGGTTTCGAACTCCTGTCCTCGAGCAATCTGCCCGCCTTGGCCTCCCAGAGTGCTAGGATTACAGGCGTGAGCCACCGCACCCGGCCTCTTTTATATTTTTTACCCCAGCTAGTCCTCCTTCCAAAATTCCTCTCCCTTGGGTCCCCTCGCCCCACCTCTTCCGTCCTCCCTCCGTTTCCCGCAGTCCTCCTCCAGATGGACCGCACCTTGGTGAACCACAGTTTAATGATTCAAGAGTGGAGTGCGGTCGGAGACCGAGGCCACGAGGCCAGAGATGAGTCTGTTTTAATTGTTGGTGAGACAGGGAGGGGCCTTTGGAAATAGCTCCCCCTTCCCTACCCCCTGTGTGTCCCATCCAGTTCAGGCAGGAAGCCGCTTCCCCTAGGACAGTTCGTTGCCAGGATGGTGTGAAGGGCCGCTGTCGAGGGTGGCAGCCGGACGAGGACACGGCCTCAGAGGACACTGATGCGCTCAGCCAGCCCCTGCATGTCGTGGTCCTGCGTGGGGAGCGCCCCGCCGATCTCCCTGTCTGCTGGCAGCGCGGGCCCGGGCAGCGGATGCTCTGCCACGAACTGGTCCCAGCGCGCGTCGTCACTCTCGTGCGTGATGTACCGCTCGCCCATCTTCCCTTCCAGCTCTCGGAGGTCCAGCCACGTTTGGTACTCCTGGGCCGGGAGAACCGGGGTTAGCTTTAGCAGAGAGCAGCGCTTGGAGCAGCTCTGCCCTGCCAGAGGGAGCCGGGTACCCAAGAAAGTGAAGCCACACCTGCCCAGCCAATAGAAATTTAGCTCCACCCCCTCCTCTGCGGCCCAGCCAATAGGAGGCCCAGCCGCATTCCGGATCCAAGGGAAACGTGGGTACCTGCGTCCTTCACTATCTTCCTGGCCAATAAGCGATCTAGCTCCACCCTTTCCTCCAACCCAGCCAATCGGCCAGCCCCGCCCCCTGCATCACCTGTAACCAGGAGTGGCTGAGAGACTTGTCCACACTGTAGCGCTTGCGCATCTTCACCTGCAGCAGGTTGTTAATGAGGTCGATGGCTGCGCAGGAAGGAAGGAGACAGTTCGAGCCCTGGGGATGAGGGTTGCTCCTCCTCCAACAGCCCCCTCAGCCCCCCTGCCTGCCATCAAGGCCTGCCATCTTCACTAGCCCTGCTGGCTCGGAAGCCTCACCTGCGCCAATCTCTCACCCACCCATTTCCTCATCAGAGGGTGAAGGGAGACTTGTAATAGTCATCGCCTTTGGGAAGAACAGAGGGCCAAGGAATGAGAGACAATTGTCACTGTAGACCCTTCTGCATATTTAAAAATGTGAACCATGTGAGTATTTAGCCTATGTAGAAAAAAAGATAAAATCTCATTTATCAATTCATTTTTAAGGTGAAACACATGCATTTAAAATGGAAACTTAGGCCGGGCGCGGTGGCTCACGCCTGTAATCCTAGCACTCTGGGAGGCCGAGGCGGGCGGACTGCTCGAGGTCAGGAGTTTGAAACCAGCCTGAGCAAGAGCGAGACCCCGTCTCTACTATAAATAGAAAGAAATTAATTGGCCAACTAATATATGTATAGAAAAAATTAGCCGGGCATGGTGGCGCATGCCTGTAGTCCCAGCTACTTGGGAGGTTGAGGCAGGAGGATCGCTTGAGCCCAGGAGTTTGAGGTTACTGTGAGCTAGGCTGACTCCATGGCACTCACTCTAGCCTGGACAACAAAGCGAGACTCTGTCTCAAAAAAAAAAGAAAAAAAAAATGGAAACTTTACATCACTTTGGTCAATGGAAATCCTATGATCACTTGCAGTATCCACAAAAGTAAAATGAAAATACAGATGACCTCTGACTTAGGAGGGTTCGACTTAATGATTTTTCAACTTCTCGAGGGTGTAAAAGCAGCACACATTCAGTAAAGACCATATTTCAGGTACGCATACAACCATTCTGGTTTACACTTTCAGTACAGTATTCAATAAATTAAATTGGATATTCAAGACTGTATTATAAAATAAGGTTTGTGTTAGGTGATTTTTATCAATTGTAGACTAAAAAAAACTGTTCTGAGCATGTTTAAGGTAGGCTGGGCTAAACTAGGATGTTGGGCAGGTTAGGTGCATTAATGCATTTTCTGCCTACAATATTTTTAACTTAGGATGATTTATCAGGACCTAACCCCACTGTTAAGTCAAGGAGCGTCTGTAAAACAATGTTATCAGATGGCAGCAGCCACTGTTGCTGGCAAACCCTTCTTTGTGAAGATAGCAGGAGCCAGCGCCAAGCTTTAAGGCAAGCCAGCAGCCCCCTGTGGACAAGGGCAGGCCATGTGCACACAGGCACCCTGTCCCAGTCAACACTCACAGTGGGTCCCCAAAGGCAACCCTAAGGATCCGAGATACGACTGCGGGACTCAAGTCACCCCACAATCTCGCTACTTTGTGCTCCTTTCTCAGGCCCAGCACCAAGACCTTTTCCGGTGTCACCCTCCCTCCCCAACGCCAACTCGGTGAGGCCACACCCTTCGGAGAGCAGCTTCCCCCGCTCCTGCTCTTCACAGACCACTCAGCGGGCTCTGCCCCACCGATCCCTGTCCCACTCATCATCGTGTTCCCACAGCCTAGCACGGTCAGTGCCAGGCACCCGGCAGGCACCCAACACGCACGTGCTGAATAAGCGGTTATAAATCAGTGATTGCCTCCTGTTTTTTGTTTTTTTTAGATAGAGTCTCACTCTGGTGCCTGAGCTAGAGTGCCATGGTGTCAGCCCAGCTCACAGCAACCTCAAACTCCTGGGCTCAAGCGATCCTCCTGCCTCAGCCTCCCAAGTAGCTGGGATTACAGGCATGTGTCACCATGCCAAGCTAATTTTTTCTATATATTTTTAGTTGGCCAATTAATTTCTTTCTATTTTTAGTAGAGAGGGGGACTTACTCTTGCTCAGGCTGGTTTTGAACTCCTGACCTCCAGTGATCCTCCCGCCTCGGCCTCCCAGAGTGCTGGGATTACAGGCGTGAGCCACGTCCCTCCCACACTCTGTCTTCCTGAGCTCGCTGGCTCCAGCACCTGCCTCTGGCCTTGCCCTCTAAACGTCCCCCTCCCCCGGCCTCAAAGCTCCCGGCCTCGGGACTTAACTTTTCCCAAGCCAATCCTCAAGGCAGTAGGTTCGAGTCACCAGGCCCAGTGCCACTCCCCAGCCACCAGGCTGCAGCCCCTGGGTCCGGACATCCCAACGCCTGCCTCAGTCCTGACTCCTCTCCCCGAGCCCCCATCTGCTGTCAGTTTCCAGGCCTCAGGGGCTGGCCTTTTCCTGGACCTCTTCTGAAACCCTCCATGGCCATGTCCCTAGCCTGGTCCCCTTTGCCACTGGACCCGCCCCCAGGCTCCAGGCCCATCTCCACCTTAGTCACACCCAGCAGAGTAACCAAGCCCCTTGCTCCTCAGCCCTGCCCCCTGGCACCTCCACTTTTACAGGGACATAACCCCAAAAGCCCTAGATCCCAGCCAATGCCTCGGGAAAATGTGCCTCCTCTCCTGGCCACCCCAGCCTTTGACTTCCTCAGGTCCTGTCCCTCTCCGGGTCCCACCCTAGACAAACTCAGCCCCATGCCTCGTTTCCAGCCCATGTAACCTAGTCTAGGCCTGAGTCTCCGAGCCCCTCGTTCTAGACAGGTCTCTGAATCCCAGTGCACTGTTTATAGGACCGCCCCTCCTGCAGCCCCGCCCAATCGCTGGACTCCGCCCCAGGTGCCCCACCCCCTCGCGGCCCCGCCCCCTGTCCCAGCCCCGCCCCTGGCCACCCAGCTAAGCGGTCAGCGACTGCCACGCACTGACCCCAACACGCACCTCCAGCCGAGATCTGGCTCCAGGGACTGGCAGGGTACATGAAGGCGGCGTTCTGGATCTGGTCGTTGATGTCCTCGTCCTCGTTGAAGGGGAACGTGCCGCTGAGGCTGACATACATGATCACGCCCACCGACCACATGTCCAGCGAGCGGTTGTAGCCCTGGTTGAGCAGCACCTCGGGCGCCAGGTAGGCCGGCGTGCCCACCACCGAGCGGCGGAACGACTTCTCGCCGATGATGCGCGCGAAGCCGAAGTCACACAGCTTCACCTGCAAGGGGGTGGGGGACAGTCTGAGCTCCCAGTGAAGCCGCCCCTCCCTGCCTTTCCCACCCCGCCTCCCCACTCCCCGCCCCTGGCACAAAATTGAACATTGCTTCAAATCCAGGCTCCTCCGCTCATTAGCTCAGTGACCCTGAGCAAGTGACTTCCCTTCTCTGTGCCTCAGTTTCCTCATCTATACGAGGAGGAGGAGCATCATGGCATCTATCTCAAAGCAGTGAAGGAGCAGCGTCCAGCACGGAATGGGCCTCGGTGGTCTCAGGCCAGGGACCTAACTTCTCCTGGCCTCGGTTTTATCGTCTATATTGGGACTGAGAGGATCAGCCTCCTCTCGGCCTTTCCTGGGCATTACCTGGGCCTGGGCATGAAGTGCTGCTCACAGCACCTGGCAGGCAATAACGTATGTGCCTCTCTCTCCCTCCGTGTTAATATTAATGTCTAAGGTCAGCCCAGTGTCGTGGCTCACACCTGTAATCCTAGCACTCTGGGAGGCCGAGGCAGGAGGATCGCTTGACCTCGGGAGTTCGAGACCAGCCTGAGCGCAAGAGCAAGACCCCGTCTCTACCAAAAATAGAAAAATTAGCCAGGTGTGGTGGCGCACACCTGTAGTCCCAGCTACTCGGGAGGCTGAGGCAGGAGGATCGCTTGAGCCCAGGAGTTTGAGGTTGCTGTGAGCTAGGCTGACGCCACGGCACTCTAACCCGGGCAAGAGAGTGAGACTCTGTCTCAAAAGAAAAAAACAAACATATAGGCTTAGCTTCTGACAGTCAAGATGACGATGGTTTAACTGCAAAAGCAGCTCAGTCGTGTTGGGGACCAAGTTTCCTGCTGTCCCTCTGGGGTGTTGCTGGGCCCCTATTTATCAAAACCATGGGACTTCCCAAAGTCGGAAGGGGACGTAACTGACCTGAGGAAACGGGTCGGCCGATGCCAGCAACACGTTTTCTGGTTTCAAGTCGCAGTGGACGATGTTCTTGAAGTGAAGGTGTCTCAAAGCCACCAGGATCTGAGGGAAGGAGAGGGGCCCGTGAGAAAGGCGGACAGGCATTGCCCACACTCCACTCCAAACCCACCCAGGCCTTTCTCTGCACTCCTCAATGTGCCCCCTCAGGGTCAGGGGAGGTATTGGAGCACCAAGGAATGTCAGTACCCCAAATCCATTTACGCCTGAGAGGCAGGAGCTGGACGAAGAATTCTAGAAAGGCTGAGCTAGACCAGAGGGACCAGGAAGACCCTAAGACCCCCTGCACATGGTGAATTCCTGAATGCTATTAATAGAGCAGGCGCTTTCCAGAAGGTTCTACCGTGTGATTCAATGAAAACAATTTTTTTTTATCATCCTTTAAAAAGAAACTTGTTTCTGTGTGACCCAAAACAGCAAACACCCCAGAAGCAGAGGGTGATTGATGTCAGGTGCAATTGTAATCTGTGTCTCAGAATTTAAATTCCTGTTTTCACCAGGTGGGTGACTTCCTAGTGAGGAAATACTATGGAAAATTTACTGCTACAGTCCAATCTCTTTCTTCTATAGATGGGGAGACCGAGATACAAAGATGTATTTGTATATATCATCTCCAGATTTCCTGTTAATTGGTTTGTTTTGCTCCCAGTTCATGGGGTGAACAAAGGGCAGATTGGACGCTAGATCGATCCAGGTTCAAATCTTGGCCAGACAGCTACTCAGTTGTGCCACCTTGGGTGAAACACTGTACCTCCCTGACCCTCGGTTTCTTCATCTATACAGTGTGGGGGGGTTATAATGATACTTACCTCAAAGGGTGGTGGTGAGGCCTAAATAAGTTCATGAGGGAAAGGGCTTAAAGGCACAGGACTTGGGGTGGGGCAGGCAAGAGCCCAGAAAGCAGAAATCTGCAGGGGGAGAGAAAGGGAGACAGAAAGAAGACAGAGCAGGTAAAAAGGAAGGAGGAGACAGAAGATCAGAAAGAGAAACTGCCTCACTTGCTGAAAGCAGTCAGTTCCCCCTCCCCATCTAAGGTCTGGAGGAGGCTGCCTCAGTGGGTTTCTGTCCCCTCCCCACAAGCCAGCCTGCCAAACACAGGCACACCGCTCAAGAGAGATGGCGCTGGCCCGGGATAAAGGAAAACACAGCACAGGGGACTTTGCAGCCAACAGCGATGCCCTCAAATCAGTCCTTTCTAGGAAGGATGTGAAACCCGGAAACCACAAAAGAGAACATTTCACACTGTAAAAGTTAAAACTCTGTGGCAAATGAAAGCCAAAAACAAAACGAAGAGGCAAACGAATACTGGGGTGAAAGAAATGAACAACATAATGGTGCAGGACCTTATGCCCTTCATATGCAAAGAGTTCTTACTATTCAATAAGAAAAAGACTGAATAACCCAACTGAAAAATTGGCAGAAGATGCAAAAAGCACAGGCCAGTAAACACGGAGATGTGTTCAACCTCATCCATAATTTTTAAACTGCCAAATAAAGCCACAGGAAGTATCATTTTTCTACCTATAGGATGGGCAATTATTTTTGTCCAGTGTGGATAAGGAGAGAGAAAATAGGCACTCTTGTACTCCACTGCCAAGAGCAATGATTGAAAGGGGTTTTAGAAAATAACTGGACAGCATCTTTTTACAAATTTAAAGCATATTTCCCTGAACGTGGGTGTCTGCTATTTGAAACATGTTCTACTGAGATTCTCCCAGCAGGGCCTGAGTATGTTTACAGACAGGTGTTCACAGGATGGTGTTTATCATGGTGGAAAGGTCAAAACCCCCTACATGTTCAGTAACTGGGGAATTTGGTGATATGCATCATGTGACACAATTCAACTACCGTGACCGTGAAAACGTAAGGGGCAGAACATGCAGCATATATGTGATGTGAAACCAATTCAAATGTGCACACACACACACCAAAAATCTGACACACTATATCACAAATGATTAATCATTTGACATCACTAGTTAAAAGCACAGATTTTAGGTTGAAATCCCACCGCCTGTGTGACCCTGGATAAGTTACTTGACGTCTCTGAGCCTCAGTTTCTTTCACTATAAAAGGGGAGTGATGGCAGCGCCTATCGCAAAGGCTACTATGAAGTTTAAATGAGTTAAAAGAATGCCTCAATAAATGTTCACAACCACATTATTTATCATCATTATTGGCCTCCCCTGTCCCAGCCTGGGTGATCGCTGGCTAGGGCTGGGGGTACTTTGGTCACCACTGTGTCCCCAACACTGCCCAGCATGGGACTGAGCATGGAGCAGGGGCTCAGGGAGTGTTTGCTGAACAATTTTAACAAACGGATGAATGAATGAATGACAGAGAAAGAGAGAGGGGAAAAAAGCCACTTCCGTCTTTTTTCTAGATGAGTGAAATCTGGCCCAGGGAGCGTGACTCATCATTACTGTTTTTACTATTTTTCTACAACAATAATGGCTATCGTTATTACTACTACTCTATTATTTTTCTATTATCATTATGATCCTTTTTATCATTATGACTATCTTGTCATTTTTGTAATTATTGTCACTCTCTTGCTTTTTTCTATTCATATCACAGTTAGTATGACTTCTCTCTATCTTTTCTTTTTTTCCTTCTTTTTTTTTGTTCTTGAGACAGAATCTCACTCTGTTGCCTGGACTAGAGTGTCATGGCATCAGCCTAGCTCACAGCAACCTCAAACTCCTGGGCTCAAGCAATCCTCCTGCCTCAGCCTCCCGAGTAGCTGGGACTACAGGCATGCGCCACCATGCCCGGCTAATTTTTTCTATATTTTTTTAGTTGGCCAATTAATTTCTTTCTATTTTTAGTAGAGACGGAGTCTCGCACTTGCTCAGGCTGGTTTCGAACTCCTGACCTTGAGCGATCCTCCTGCCTCGGCCTCCCAGAGTGCTAGGATTACAGGCGTGAGCCACCGCGCCCGGCCTCTCTCTGTTTTCTGTCATCTGCTGCCGTGACTCCCAGCAGCATGGGCCTGGCCTCCCGGGCACGCAGGGCCCCGTGCAGGTGCCGGGAGGGGCGGGGAGGGAGGGACGCGGCGCACCTGGGTGATGAGGAACTTGGTGAGGCGCTCGGGCAGCCGGCCCTTCTCGCTGGAGAGGATCATCTCCAACATGTCCCCGTGAAGCTTCTCCATCACCACGAACACCTTCTCAGGAGTCTCGAACATGCACTCCAGGTTCACGATCCCGGGGTGTTGCAGACTCTGGGGGGGGGGGATGGGGAAAACGGATCAGGCCCAGAGCATCAGCCATGGGAGCAGGCGACGATGGCCCTGGGGGCTGGCACTGGGGGAGGGAAGGGAGATCCCCACAGGCTGAGACAGAACAACCGACAGCCCCACCCCAGCCGCAGGGGCCCAGAAAGAATGACGTGAAATTCAGGTGAAGGCCCGGGGTTGGATGAGGGAGGGAAGGACGCTTGGAGAAATAGGAATAGCTCCACACCTGATCTCACCCCTGCCTTGCTCAAGAGCCTTCTAAGACTCTCCAGTTCCCCCAGGAGAAAGTACACAGAGTCTGGCTCCCTCCTCCCCTCCCACTGCCTCTTTCTAGAAGACCCCATGCCCCCTCTCTCATTTCCAGGTCTTCACACAGGCTGCTTCCTCTGCTCACTGGAAGCACAGCAAGCTCTGTCCTTATCCACACTGCACAAACATAATTGCCCATCTTATAGGTAGAAAAATGATACTTCCTGTGGCTTTATTTGGAAGTTTAAAAATTATGGATGACATTGAACACATTTCCATGTTTACTGGCCTGTGCTTTTTGCATCTTTTGCCAATTTTTCAGTTGGATTATTCAGTCTTTTTCTTATTGAATAGTAAGAACTCTTTGCATATGAAGGGCATAAGATCCTGCACCATTATGTTGTTCATTTCTTTCACCCCAGTATTCGTTTGCCTCTTCCTTTTTTTTTTTTTGGCTTTTATTTGCCACAGAGTTTTAACTTTTACACCTTCTCCCCCTTTTACATCTCAACAAGCATGTGTCCTCCTCTAGGAAGCCTTCCCTGACCACCCCCAGACTGGGTCAGCTGCCCCCTAAAAGGAAGCAGCAGGAAGGGAAGGCCCTTCCTGGGCCATGGCAGAGCTGGGCCCCAGACTCTGGTGGTCACCTGCAGAATGGCCACTTCGTTCCGGAGCTGGCTCTCCTGCTTGGTGGGAAAGCGCAGTTTGTCGATGACCTTCACTGCCACGTCTCGGCCTGTCTTCCGGTGCTTTCCTGGGCAGGGGGTTGGAGAGGTCAGCAGTGAGAGAGCAAGACCTCTCGTTCCTGGCAAGAGGAGTCCCACCTCTGCCGCCCCACTTCTACCATGAGACACAGTCAGAATTGGACAAAGGTGATGGAAGGCCACCAAGGTGGCTCAGAGGGGTTCCCAGGAGATATATGAGAAGCGGTGGGGTGGGGTGAGAAGGAACACCGTGGTTTCAAACTAATAGATTTATAACCAATCAGAATCTAGGATCTAGTTCTGTGGCCAATCATAGTGCAGAATTTACCTTTCCTATCCAATTAGAATCTAGGATCTAGCCCTGTAGCCAATCAGAGTACAGAATTTACCCTCCCTATCCAATCAGAATCTAGGATCTAGCCCTGTAGCCAGAGTACAGAATTTACCCTCCCTAGCCAATTAGAATCTAGGATCTAGCCCTGTAACCAATCGGAGGGCAGAATTTACCCTCCTATCCAATCAGAATCTAGGATCTAGCCCTGTAGCCAATCAGAGTGCAGAATTTACCCGCTCTATTAATAACAAGGGATGTCCATTGGTTTTTCCCAGTGAGAAAAGGAAAATCTGCAACCACCTGCACCCAGGAGCTTGCTTTTCAAGCCAGTAGAAACAGGAAGTAAGCATGCAGCCAATCAGAAAAGAAGGCTTGGAGCCAGAGGGGCTTCACCCAGCCCCAAGGTCCCCTCTGGCCTAGCTCTGACGCCTCCTTACCTCCATAGACTACTCCAAACTGCCCTGACCCCAGCACTTCGTCTGGGAAGATCTGGTAGACAGTGGCAATGTCCTGCAGGGTGGAGGGAGGGAGGGTCAGGGGTGCAAGCGGAGGTGGGGGGCCAAGGAAGACAAGAGGGCTGGGGCTGTTGTGGGGGGCAGCAGGTGTGGGGAGGAGGCTCACCACGTTCTCCTGGATCTGACTGTTGGACACAGAGATGCTCAGAGAAGCCTGTCCTGGGGAGAAGGGGGAGACAGAGGTGAGGGGTCCCCAGGCTCCAGATCACCTCTGCCCACACTTCCAAAGGTGGCCTCAGGCGCCAGGCCACCCAGGCTCGAACCCACTGATTGTCTGGTACAATGTGCAACTTCAGGCTAGCGATTTGTCCACCATGAACCCTGGTTTTCTTACCCAGAAAATGGGAATAAAAGGACTCCCTCACAGCGCCGCTGAGAGGAGAAAATGAGATGCACTGGGGGCTCAAGGAGTGATGTCACCAATGAATTTTGCTGAGTATTTTAACCCACGATCTCAGCGGCGAGGGAGGCAAAGCTTATCCAGTTTTAGAGAGAAGGAAATGGAGTCTTGGAGGGCAAGTTCAAACCGACTCCTGTGTCTTCCCCAATCTTGCCCCCCAACCACAGCCAGACATTTCTGAAGTCCTGATCCTTCTGCCATTTGAACGTCCCTCTGTCTTCCACCTCCCCCAGCCCCATCTAGGCCCCCGCGCGCCCCTCCCCTCTGGCTCCTCACTCCCCAGCCTCTCCCTGGTCTCCTTGCCGTAATCCTGCCCCTCCTATTCACCCTCCATAGGGAAGCCAGAGGAATCTTCCAGAAGCACAAACCTGACCCCGTCCCTCCCCTGCTCACAACCCTGCCATGGCTCCCCAGTTCCCTGAAGAAGAAGCCTAAGCCCCTTGAACAGCCTAAAAGGCACGATCTGGACCCTCATCTACCTCTGACCTCAACCCCTACCATGCTATTCCCGACACCGGCCTCCTTGCGGGGCCCCCAATACAGCAAACTGTCTCCTATCTCCCCGCCTTTGCACATGCTGTTCCCTCTGCCAGGAATACCCTTTCCCACATTCGAGTCTTTGCTAAATCCTTGTCCTTCAGTCTCAGCTCAAATGTCACTCCTGGGACTATGTCATGTCACTGCAGCACATGTCGTTTGTGCAGGTTGACAGTTCTGTCACCAACCCTGGATTATGAGCTCCAGAGCATGGGGACCTGCTACTCCTTCCAACTGCTTGAGATGATTCCTCATTTGCTTTCCTCATCTTACCCCTCCCCAGCCTCCAGGTCTCAGTTCAGATGTCACCTCCTCCAGGAAGTCCTCCTGGACACCCAGATTGGGTCAGGTACTCTCCCTGAACTCCTCCAGCTCCCTGGCTCCCCTGTCCCAACCCTATCCACCCTGGGTTGTCACTGTCTAGGGACAGTGACAACTGTCACACTACACTGTGCCCCACCACACTGGGCTGTGTTGGTCACCACTATGTCCTTAGCACTGTCTAGCATAGGCCGGGCACAGACGTGCCACCTGGGACAAGGCTCAGAGAGATGTGACATGTCCAAGGCCACACTTAACAGAAATTTGAAGCCAGGTCTGCTGAGTTCAGAAGCCACATTCTCAACCCCACCACTGCCTACCGTCCTCCCTACTCTTCTCTTCCCCCAGATCCTGCCCAGGCCCTTCTAGAGCCATCCTCCCATGGACCGGTGGCAGGGGACTTACTGTGTGGCGCATGGCCTGGGGCGCTGGGCGCGTCCTGGAGGATGACGGGCATCAAGGCCTGGCGGATGGCCGTCTCCCAGCCCCGGGCGGCCTCAGCCCCCTGCCCACTCGGCCCACCTGGGGCCCCACCAGGTGTCTCTCCTACGAAGTAGGTGGCATTGGCAGTGACAATCTCGAAGCAGTGTGGGTTGGTGCCTGGTGGCACGAGGCTGAAGTTCTGGGCGGACTCCACAGTGAGGATTTCTGACAGCGGAATTTCCTGGCAGGACACGGAACCAGCGAGGGTCAGACGCCAGGCAACCCTGGGGCTCCCCGGCTTACTCAGAGGGGCACACCACACAGGATCCAGTGACAAGGGGGACGGGCCTGGTTTGCATGGAGTAGGCAGGAAAGGCAAAAGTGACACTGAAGCAGAGACAGAAAGGTCCGAAGAGGCTGGCAGTGCAGGGAACAGCATGCGCGAAGGTCTCTAGGAAAGGCTTGTCCTCTAACCACATGCCATATCCCCGTGACACAGGACAGTGCCTGGCACACAGTGGGTACCTCATAAATGTCTGATGAGTAAATGAAGGAAATGGGACCACACAGGGCCTTGAGAGCCACAGGGAGGAGCCCTGGGCTTTGTCCAAGGGCCCTAGGGAGCCACTGAAGGGTTCTGGGCTGGGCAGGGCTGGGGGGAGCGTTCTCTGGCTGTGTACACTCCGTCTCTACTAAAAATAGAAAAATTAGCCGGGCATGGTGGTGCACACCTGTGGTCCCAGCTACTCGGGAGCCTGAGGCAGGAGGATCATTTGAGCCCAGGAGTCTGAGGTTGCTGTGAGCTAGGCTGATGCCACGGCACTGCAGCCCAGGCAACAGAGTGAGACTGTCTCAAAAAAAAAAAAAAAAAAAAAAAGACGGAGGGAGGAAAGAAAGACTGACTTAGGTAGCTACTAAAACCAGGTGATGAGACAGACACACAGGAGGTAGGGATGGCCTCTTAGACAGCATGATCTGGGCAAGACAAAAAGCTGAGGACTCAGCCACAGGGAAAGTCCAAGGAAGACACTCCAGGACAGGTGACAGGAGGGAGTCTGGAGTTTACCCTGGGAGACATTGAAGGGTTTTGATGATTTTAATAAAGACTCCCTGGCTGCCCGTGGGGAAGAGACTGTGGTCGCAGGGGCAGAGGCAGGGACCCAGCAAGGAGATTGCTGCAACCATCTAGGTAGGGGACAGTGGCTGGAACACGGTGCCAGTATGCGGGCTGTGATGAATATACACACATAATTCAATAAATTAATTATAAAGGAATATCAACAACGGGCTTATCATTACTGGGAGCTTAACATGTGCCACACCCCAAGCTAACTGCTTTAGCGGATTAGCTTTGAATTCTCACAACAGTCCTAAGGCGAGCACTATTATCTGAGGCATTTTGCAGGTATGAGACGCAAGGCACAGAGAGGTGCAGGAACTGGCCCTGGGTCCCCCAGCTGGAAAGTGGTGGGGGTCAGAATCAAATGCGTGGCATTTATCGATGGGTTGGAAGCAGAGAAACTGGGGGCAGGGAGAGAGCGTGAGCCGCAGGATTTGATGGAGTAAGTGAGGGTAGGAGGAGTGGGTAAGGATGTGAGCAAAGAGAGAAGGCCCACCTTGTAGTATCTGTTGGTTGTGTTGTTCTGGAACAGTGTGATGCACTTGCAGTCCAGGCGCCAATAGTGCCGCTTCCTCTGGAGAGATGTTTGAGAGGGTGAGGCTGAGCCCCTGGCTGGCTGCCCTGGCGCTCAGTGGGGCGCCTGGTGCCTGGAGCCCTGTGTTCAGGGCTCCCGCGCTTCTCCCAGCCAAGCCCCGCCCCCAACCCAACTCTAGCACCGCCCACACATGGCCCCACCCCGCCCCTGACCTTGCCTTTAGTCCCGCCTCTTTTCTAAACTGGCCCCGCCCCCAGTCTAACTCTAGCACCGCCCCCACGTGGCCCCACCCACCCCTGACCTTGCCTTTAGCCCCGCCTCTTCTCTAACACCTGCCCCGCCCCTCCTCCCACCCTTATAACCCAATACCTCTAATTGGACCTCGGCCTCCAGCATGGCCCCGCCCCCCAACTCCGGCCCCGCCCCCAGTCCCCACCTACTCAAAATATTGCCCCCTCTTCTAACTAGCTGTGGCTGCAGCTGCACCGCCTTGCCACGGCCAACTCACCAGCGTGTCCTTATTGCTGTAATGAACCACCCAACCCTCGCGCAGGGTAGTGCTGGATTTTCGTGTTGTGTGACGCACTGACTGCACCACCCTCATTAGGGGGATGTACCCCAGGGAGCTGTGGGGGCGGGCAGGGGGATAGAGGAAGGAGTAAGAAGTCACAAGCAGAAAATGACCATACTACCTGGGGCCGCAGGGGGCATCTCTGGGCAGCCAGGGAGTTGGGTTTTTTGTTTTGTTTAGTTTTGTTGCCACTTCTCCCCCCACCCCAGACTTCCCACAGCGAGGAAGGAGACAAGGGGATTCTTTTTTTTTTCTTGGAGACGGGGTCTCGCTCTGTCACCCAGGCTGGAGTGCAGTGGTGCGAACATAGCTCACTGTATAGGTGCATGCCACCATGCCTGGCTAATTTATTATCATTATTATTACTTGATAATTAGTGATAAAATATAACACATATTTAACACTTGCTGTGTACCCGGCAGTATTTTAGGTACTGTATTAATTCATATAATCTTCACAACAACTCTATAAAGTAGGCACTACTTTATCCCCATTTTACTGATGTGGAAACTGAGTCCCAGAGAGGTTAGTCTCTTGACTAAGGAAGTAGCCTGGTTCCAGAGTCCATGCTCTGACTCCTTATACTGACAGGCTGCAATAGATACTTTCTGGAAGGACCCATGAGACACTGATTCCAGTAGCTTCCTCCAGGGAGAGGAGTGGGGCAGCTGGGAAACAGGAAGGGTTTCATTTCACTAAGTATCTTTTGAATGACTGTATTACCAGCCCCCAGAAATACAAGGTAAAATATACTTCTATGAAAACTTAAAAAAAAAAAAAAATAGGAAAAAAAGGTTCAAGTTTTGGTGTTTTAAAAGGTTTGCCTTGGGAACTGGGAAAATTTACAAATATAAGGTGCTGTCAGCCCATTGTAGAGATGAGGAAGTTGAGGTTTGCTGTAGGGCAAGGGGTTTCCCCGGGGCCCCTGGGAGTATCCCGTGGGTACCTCTGGGCCTTGCCTCCCTCGCCTTCCTCCTCCTCGCTGGCGTGGAGGGCATTCTCCGAATGGGAGCCCGGGATGACACCGGAGTCATCTGACTCATCCATGAGGGCACTCTTGTCAGCCTCGCTGAAATCGGTGGCCTCCTCCATCGGCACATCTGTGGGGACAGGGGCATGAGCGGGGCCTCTTCCCAGTCCTGCCCTGCTCCTTTCCTCTGAGGCCCACCGCCTCTTACCTCCATTGATAAGAGCCTCCCCTAGGCAGTCGTTAGGGACTCGGGTGGCACAGCGCTTGTGACAGTTAAACTTGCAGTCTGGTAGGAGGACAGGGAACAGGGAATGAGGGGGAAGGGAGGTTACCTGTAAGGGTTGAACCTTGACCCCTAACCCTCAGGCTCAAAAGAGTCTGCTTTTGCTGTCGGGGTCAGACAATTAGGCTGCCCCTTCCCTGGTCATTTCCCCCCTTTGAGGCACGGTTTCCTCAACTATGGGAACACTGGATTAAGTAGGAATACTTTGGGCTACACTCAAGATACCTATGGCTCTAAGGTTCTAACACTGTAAGCTTCCATTAACCTAGAGTTTCTAGAATGTAATAGGTTCTAGCATTCTCTGATTCTAGACTCTAGGGCTGGGGTCCTCAACCTTTGGCACTAGTAACATTTTGGGCTGGATAATTTGTTGTTGTAGGCTGTTCTGTGCATTATAGGATGTTTAGTAGCATCCCTGACCTCCACCTACTAGATCCCAGTAGCACCCACCCAGTGTGACAAATAAAAATGTCTCCAATCATTGGCAAACATCCCATGGGGCAAAACTGCCCCTGGTTGAGAACCATTGTTCTATAGTTTGATGATTCCAAGGTTCTAGGACACTAGATAGCAAAGATTCTAGAGTTTGTTAAAAACCTTTTTTTTTTCAAGGTTCCATGATTCTAGATTTCTAAGGCTCCAGAGTTGTTGTTTTTTTTTTTTTTGAGACAGAGTCTTGCTCTGTTGCCCAGGCTAGAGTGAGTGCCATGGTGTCAGCCTAGCTCACAGCAACCTCAAACTTCTGGGGTCAAGCGATCCTTCTGCCTCAGCCTCCCAAGTAGCTGGGACTACAGGCATGCACCACCATGCCCGGCTAATTTTTTCTATATATATTAGTTAGCCAATTAATTTCTTTCTATATATAGTAGAGACGGGGTCTCACTCTTGCTCAGGCTAGTTTCAAATTCCTGACCTTGAGCAATCCTCCCGCCTCGGCCTCCCAGAGTGCTAGGATTACAGGCATGAGCCACCGCGCCCGGCCAGGCTCCAGAGTTTGATGTTCAAGTTTCTAGAACTCTATACATCAGGTCTATGATTCTACAGGTCTATGATTCTAGACTTCTAAGACTCCTGAATGTCCAAGGTTTCAGGATTTCATATATTTAAACTCAAAAAATTGACAATTCTACAATTCTAGACTTGTATGCCTCTGGAATCCGATGACCTTCCAAGGCTGTAGGATCCTATATATCTAAGATCATAGGATTTGATATCTCTATGGTTCTTTAGCTCTAGATTCTAAAATTCTAGAATTTGATTCTTCAAAGTTCTGGGAGTCTAGATTTACAAGATTCTAGGACTCGGTGGTTCTAAGATTACATCATTCTAGACTTCTAAGACTCTCAAATTTGATGCTTTTAGGCTTCTGGTATTCTCAAATCCCATGGTTCCAAAATTCGAATGTTCTGAGAATCTATAACTCAGTAGTTCTAAGATTATGGCCTAAAGTTCTTTGGTTATTTTAACTGAATTCTATGATTCCAGAATTTCTTTTTTGTTCTTCTTCTTTTTTTTCCCCCTCCCTGAGCTGCTTCAGGTTAATAAGATTCCAGAATTCTTTTTTTTTTCAAATTTTTTTCCCCACCCCGGCCCCACCTTTGATTCCAGAATTCTTGAATCTTGTTTCTATGGTTCTCTGATTCTAGAATTCTCAGACTCTACAGTTTTAGAATTCAATGCTAAGTGCCTTATGAATCTAGATTTCCAAGGTAGCAGGATTCCAAGGTTCTAAAGACTGAAGTTCTAAGATTTCAGAATTCCAAAGGTTCCAGAGTGCCTGGATTTAGGAAGCTCCCCTTCTGAGGCCCTGTGCTCCTAAGGATGACAAGGCCTGTGCTGAGATTCCTGCGACCCCCACAAGCCGGGATTAGGGGGAGGGGGAGGTTCTGACCCCGTCTGTCCTCCCTCCCAGGGCCCCACGAACCTTTGCACTGCAGGCCCTGCCGGAAGAGGCCCTTGAGGAGTTTCTTACAAGCCTGGCAAACAGTGGGCCGCGTGTAGCTGTGGATGAGGAAGGTGTGGGGCACCTTGACCTTGGAGAGCAGCATCTTGTCCAGCTCTATGGGGCGGCCCGTGTAGGATGAGACAGAAGAGGAGGAGGAGGACGACGGGGGGCGGCGAGGCAGGAGGTCGGTCGTGCTACGGCTCTGAAAGCCACCGTGGGAGGGAAACATCAGCAGGTTGTCCCCATACCTGGGCCCCGTCACCCCCGCACCCCGCCACCAACCCGCCCCACGCGCCAGCCGCTCACCAGCTCGTCAGCCGTACAGGGCAGCGACTCGGAGGTGCCAAGGCGCACCGAATGGCCACTGGCCAGGGACGTGGACGACAGGCGCCGCTTCCGGGCCCCACTGCAGTTGTTGGGGATGCTGAAGGCGCAGCGCTTGTGGTAGTTCAGCCCGCAGCCTGCGGGGGGCACCAGAGAGTCAGAGGCAAAGCCTCGGGCCCTACTAGGCCTGTGGCCCCTTCTTGAGAAGCTCTGATCTTTCCACCCAACCTCCCACTCGGCCCTGTCCCTAGTCCCCAACCCAATCCCCTCCAAAAGGCACTACTCCCCTTAAGAGCACCAACCCCAGGCTCCGCCCCCGCCTAGAGCTCCGCCCCTAGTCCCAGCTTGTAGCGCCACCTGCACCCCACCCCTTCCCATTCTGACAAAGGACACCTCAAAGACCGCCCCCAAGGTGCCACCCCAGCCCCACACCTCTAAGGTCACTACCTCCCTAGAATCCTCTCCCAGACTACCGTCCGCTTCTAGCCCTGACCCTCCCTTTTCTCCTCTCCCCCCACAGCCCCACCTTCCAGAGAGAAGCCCCCTCTCCCCAGCAACCCTCCCTCCCAAATTCACCATCACCTCCTCCAGGGCTGCGCATCCCTCACCCGACCCCCCTTTCTCTTTTCTGTAGATCTGGAATCTAGGAGATCCCTTAGGGCGCCTCTTGCTAGTGTAATTAAAGTCAGTGGAAAACTGCAAAAACCCAGTTCAGGCAGAACTGCTAATGGCCCAAACCCTTTGGGAATGAAAGACTGGGTCACCCCACCAGTTGCAGAACTGAGGGCTGTACTAGTTGCATTTCTTTCTTATTTTGTTATGAATATGTGTGTATACAAAATATGTTTTTCTTCTCTCTTTTATCCTCTAATCATCTAACACAAGATATATTAATAATAGTTAACTTTATATAATGGTGGTATTTAAGTTACAGGATATCAAAGGAGAGTGAACATCACTCATTCCTTTTATAAAAGGAAGGGACAGAAGAGATCACTGTCTCTCGGTGTGCCATGTGAGCACACACTGAGATGGTGGCCCTCTGCAAGCCAAGACAGATCTCACCAGAAACCAAACCCAGCTGGAACCTTGATTTAAACTTTGGTTTAAGCCACCCAGCCTGTGCTATTTTGTTATGGCAACCCTGACAAACTAAGACAGGTGCTAGGTTGGTAAGGGGTGGACTCGGATGGTCAGCTTTAAGTGTCAGTTCGGTAGGCTAGCGTCCACAGTTATTCCAACATGAATCTACGTGTCGCTATGAGGTATTTTGTAGATGAGCTTAAAGGCCACAATCAATTGACTAAAAGTCAGAGAGATTATCCTGGTTTATCTGAGTGGGCCTAGTTCAATCAGTTGAAAGGTTTAAAGAGCAGAACTGAAACTTTGCAGATGAAGACATTTCGCCTGTGGATAGCTGCTCCAGCTTGTCCCTGAGAGTCCCAGCCCTGCGGATTTTGGAGTTGTCTAGCCAAGCCCCACGATCCTGCTGGCCAATTCCTTGCAAGAAATCTCTTACTATATACCTCCTGCTGGTTTTGTTTTCTGTTTGATCCCTAACGGATACAGGCCCCATCCTCTTCTCCAGCGACATGTCCTATCCCCCAAGCTCTGTCCCTGAGCCCCTACTTTTCCCTCCCAGCCCACCACCTAGGCTCCGCCCCCAGGTCTCAGCCCCGCCCAGGCCCCACCGCTCCTCTCCCAATCTCCGCCTCTGGGCCCTTACCCCTCCCTCCTGGCATTACTTCCCAGGCTCCACCCCCTGCTCTGAGCTCCGCCCCCGCCCCACTCCTCATTGGCCCCACTTCCAGCCCCGCCCCGTCTCCCCGAGCCCTGTGGCTCCGCCCCAGAGCTGAGCCCCGCCCAGGCCCCGCCGCTCCTCTCCCAATCTCCGCCTCTGGGCCCTTACCCCTCCCTCCCGGCATTACTTCCCAGGCTCCGCCCCCAGCTCTGAGCTCCGCCCCAGCCCCACTCCTCATTGGCCCCACTTCCAGCCCCGCCCCGTCTCCCCGAGCTCTGTGGCTCCGCCCCAGAGAGGAGCCCCACCCAGGCCCCGCCTCCAGCCCCACTGGCTCTCACCGTCGCATTTGAGGCCCTGGCGCACGAGGCCAAAGAGCATCTCCCCGCAGTGGTCGCAGAAAGCAGGCGCCCGGTAGGAGTGCACCGTGAGGGCGTGCGGGCGGATCTGGAAGTCCTCGAATGTGGCGGAGGCTGCAGGCAGCGGGGAAAAGCGGACGCTTGAGCAGGGGTGGTGGCCGAAGCTGCTCCAGCCCCCTATGTTCCCAGGTTTTTCACAGTCCTCCCAGCAGCAAGGTTTGATCTTTCCTTTCTTCATTCATTCACTCACATACTACATTCTGCCTGGGTTCAAAACAGTTGCGGAGACTGGCTGCACAACAGCGTGGATGTCCTTAACACTCCTGAACGGTACCATCAGAAGTAACTTTTATGTTATGTATATTTTACCACAATTAAAAATGTTTAACTTAGCCCGGGCGCGGTGGCTCAGGCCTGTAATCCTAGCACTCTGGGAGGCCGAGGCGGGAGGATCCCTTGAGCTCAGGAGTTCAAGACCAACCTGAGCAACAGCGAGACTCCATATCTACTAAAAAAAAAAAAAAAAATTAGCTGGGCTTGGTGGCACCTGCCTGTAGCCTGTAGTCTCAGCTATGCAGGAGACTGAGGCAGGAGGATCACTTGAGCCCAGGAGTTTGAGGTTGCTGTGAGCTATAATGACAGGACTGCATTGCACTCTGCCCAGGGCAACAGAGCGAGACTCTGTCTCAAAAAAAAAAAAAAAAAAAATTAAATTAAAAATACCAACCAACCAAAAGAAAAAACTAGGTGGATGACTGGGTCCCACCCTCTGAGTTTTTGATCTAATTGGTCTGGGCTAGGACCTGATCATCAAGAAGGGGAACAAACACTATGTGCTTAGTTTTCTCACCTTTAAAAAGGAAAACCACCAAAAACATATTGAACACTGTTATAGGTGCTAGGGACTCCACATAGAACAGGACAGATAAAATCCCTGCCTGGCCTATGGTGACAGAGACAAACAAAATAAATAAAATAAATATTCTTTTTTTTTGAGAGAGAGTCTCACTCTGTTGCCCAGGCTAGAGTGAGTGCTGTGGCGTCAGCCTAGCTCACAGCAACCTCAAACTCCTGGGCTCGAGTGATCCTTCTGCCTCAGCCTCCCAAGTAGCTGGGACTACAGGCATGCGCCACCATGCCCGGCTAATTTTTTCTATATATATCAGTTGGCCAATTAATTTATTTCTATTTATAGTAGAGACGGGGTCTCGCTCTTGCTCAGGCTGGTTTTGAACTCTTGACCTCGAGCAATCCTCCCGCCTCGGCCTCCCAGAGAGCTAGGATTACAGGCGTGAGCCACTGCGCCCGGGCTAAAATAAATATTCTTATTTAACAATCACCCAATGTAGCAGTTACTCTGTGCCAGGCACTGCTCTAAGTACTTTACAATACTAAGCCCTCCCAAGAGCCCTGTGAGGGGCCAGGCGCAGTGCCTCATGCCTGTAACCCTAGCACTCTGGGAGGCGAGGCGGGAGGACCACTCAAAGTCAGGAGTTCAAGACCAGCCTGAGAAAGAGCGAGACCCCATCCATACTAAAAATAGAAATAAATTAATTGGCCAACTAAAAATATATAGAAAAAATGAGCCAGGCATGGTGGCCGCATGCCTGTAGTCCCAGCTACTTGGGAGGCTGAGGCTGAGCCCAGGAGTTTGAGGTTGCTGTGAGCTAGGCTGACGCCATGACACTCTAGCCCAGGCAACAGAGTGAGACTCTGTCTCAAAAAAAAAAAAAGGGCCCTGTGAGGTTGAGGTACCCTATCATTATGCCCATTTTCAAGATGAGCTGCAGCACAGATAGGTTAAGCAACTTGCCCAAAGTCACACAGCTAGCAAGTCTTAGATTCGAACCCTGGCCAGTCCTGCTCGAGTTCATACTCTTAGCATTGTACTTACCTGTCTCTCTAAAAATTGTACCTAATAAAATAGCGGTGCAATTTTAAACAGATAATCAGGGAAGGCCTCCTTGAGCATTTGACATTAAGGCAGAGGCCTGAAGGAGGCACGGGTATGGGCTCTGCAGGTGTCTAGGAAAGAGCATGCCAAGCTTCCTAACAGTCTCTTCTTATGGGCTCTTTTTGTTTGTTTTTGAGACAGGGTCTCGCTATCACCCAGGCTGGAGTGCAATGGCACGATCATAGCTCACTGCAGCCTCAAACTCCTGGGCTCAAGCGATCCTCCTGCCTCAGCCTCCCTAGTAGCTGGGACTACAGGCATGCGCCACCACACCCAGGTAGTCTTAAAATTTTTTTGTAGAAATTGGGTCTCGCTGTGTTGCCCATAGGCTGGTCTCGAACTCCTGGCCTCAAGTGATCCTCCCACCTCAGCCTCCCAAAGTACTGGGATTACAGGTGTTGAGCCACCATGCCTGGCTCTTACAGATTCTCTTTTAAGGGTTAAATGAATGAATATATGGAAACCTCTTACAACAGTGCCTGGCACATAGAAAGTGCTCAATAAATATCAGCTGTTATTTTAAAATAGTTTCATGTTTGGACTAAGTCTCATTAATTTTTCCTCCCAAATTTTCAGTATACCATTAAGCTATATTTTTCTTAATATTATGCAACGGAAAGGGGACACTGTTCTACGTGCCAGGCACTATTTACTCACTCAGGATAAAGCTAAGAATAAGAAAGATTTACACTCTGACCTGAGGGAGCCGACATTCTTTTGGGGAGACAAGAAAGATAAACATGTCAATAAACAAGGAAAGTTCAGACAATGCTAAATACTCTGAAGACAATAAATAGGGGTGTGTGGGGGAAGGAGGTCAGATTTTCAGGCAGAGAGAACAGTAGTGCAAAGGCCCTGAAGTGGGAAGGAGCTTGGTGTGTTCAAGGGCCAGAGGGCAGGCATGCAGGGGTGGAACTGAAAAAGGACAGTGCTGAGATAAATCCAGGGAACTAGCAGAGGCCAGGTCACAGATGGCCTTGAGGCCAGGCTGAGGAGTTTGTAGTTCATTCCGAGTGTACTGGGGAGCCATGGGAGGATTTTGAGCAGTGGCATGTCATGACCTGACTTACATGCTACTGCAATAGTCTAAGCAGGATATGGTGGGGGCTTGGATCAGTGGAGGTGATAAGAAATAGATTCAAGACGTATGTTAAACATAGGGCCAGTTGGTTTGCTGATGGATCAAGTGAGTGAGCGAGAGAAAAAAGGGAGTTGAGGATGCCCTAAGGTTTGGCACGCAAGCCCCCAACCCTTCACCGACAGGAAGACTGCAGGAAGTGCAGGTTTACAAGCAGGAAATCAAAACTTCTGTTTTGGACAGGCCATATCTGAGATGCCTGTTAGATGTCAAATAAAACTGTCTGGGAGACAGTTACATAAACAAGACTCAGGTTTAGGGGAGAGACAACAATGCAGATAAAACTTCAAGAGGGGGCCGGGCGTAGTGGCTCACGCCTGTAATCCTAGCACTCTGGGAGGCCGAGGCGGGCGGATTGCTTGAGGTCAGGAGTTCGAAACCAGCCTGAGCAAGAGCGAGACCCTATCTCTACTATAAATAGAAAGAAATTAATTGGCCAACTAATATATATATAGAAAAAATTAGCCAGGCATGGTGGCACATGCCTGTAGTCCCAGCTACTCAGGAGGCTGAGGCAGGAGAATCGCTTGAGCCCAGGAGTTTGAGGTTGCTGTGAGCTAGGCTGATGCCACAGCAATCTAGCCCAGGCAACAGAGTGAGACTCTGTCTCAAAAAAAAAAAAAAAAAATCAAGAGGGGCAGCTTATAAGAGCATATTTAAAGCCTGAATGAGCTCACCAAAGGTGTAAAACCAAGCTTCTAACTATCATCCATTCAACAAATTTTAATGAACATTGCAGCGAATGCAAGAGAGGCAGGGGCTATGGCCACGAGCACGGCAGATGCCCCACCCCCGTGAGGAACCCAGGTGCTCAGAGCTTGCCCAGTCTCTAAAATGGAAATGGCAGGTGGGTGGGCTAGACTCTGGCTGGACATTAGATAATCGCTTGTAAAAGTACCGATGCCCAGATCTCATCGCACCTTGCAGACATTCTGATTTTATTTGGCATTTCAGTGGGAGGAGGCACGAGCATCAGAACATTTTTTAACTTTAAAGTATAACATGTGTCCAGAAAAAGGCATACAAGTGCAAGGGCTCAGTGAATTTTCAAAGTGTCATGCTAATTGTCACTAGCATGAAAGTTAAACCAGTACCCCAAAAATGGCCCTGTGGCCTTACTCAGTCTCCATCTTCCCCAAAGGCACCCACTCTCCTGACTTCTAACACCTTAGGGTAACTGACCTATCTTTGTGCCTCATAAGCGGAAACAGACAGTATGTAGTCTGGTGTCTAGCTCCTCTCTCTCAGTGTTACGTCTGTGAGCTGCACGCATGTTGCTGCGTGTGGTTCATGCTCAGGGCTGCGTGAATTCCAGTGTGAAGGCAGCACAATACATTTATCCATTCGGGAGCGGTAGGTGGGAAAATCTCCCGATTCTAATTTGCAGCTCAGGACAAGAACCACTGGCCTTGAACTTTAAGAAAGGCAGTTCTGGCCGGGCATGGTGGCTCATGCCTATAATCCTAGCTTTGGGAGACCAGGTGGGAGGACTGCTTGAGGCCAGGAGTTGGAGAGCAACCTGGGCACTATAGTGAGACCCCATCTACAAAAAATTTAAGAAATTAGCCGGGTGTCTTGGTGCGTGCCTGTAATCACAGCTACTCAGGAGGCTGAGGCAGGAGGATCGCTCAAGCTCAGGAGTTGGAGGCTGTAGAGAGCTAATGATGACACCACTGTACTCCAGCCTGAGTGACAGACTGAGACCTTGTCTCAAAAACAAAAAACCAAAACAGACAGTTCTGAGCATTTCCCGCCCCCTCCCCATCCAGATGCCCAGCCCCCACCCGAGGCTCCGCCCCTAAGCCAGCCACCGCCTCTCACCCGACAGCACCACCTCCACCAGGTCGCCCTCCTGGATATCTCCGGCCGAGCGCACCAGCTGCAGGAGGTTGGCCGATGTGGGGTCATGTTTGAAGAGGAGGATCTTGTCATAAAGGCCGTAGAAGCCACACTCAGGGAACTAGGGGGTGGGAGAGAGGAAGGTGGCGACGGAAAAGCTCAGAGCTGCCTTCAGTGGCGGACTGGCACCCTCCCAGGGCAGGGCCGTCTGTTTCCCCCGACACTCAGAGACCCCGCAGCCCCTCGCTTTCCTGCCTGTCCCCTCCCAACCCCAGCCCGAGCTGGACAGGGTGCCAGGGCCCCAGGTGTGCGGGGAGGGAGCGCCAGCCGGAGTTTGGTGGCTGCGCTGGCGAGCAGGGGGCGGGGAGTGGCTCCCGGAACGCGGACCCTTCTATATTTCCGGAGCCCGGGGGTGGGGGGATGCTGAGCGAACACCCCTCCCCTATCAGCCTCCGCCCGCTGCTGCCCCAGCTTCCTTCCTGGATCTATGGTCACAGTTACCTGGCAGGAGGCCCAGCTTTGGGGCGGGGCGAGCCGGAAGGAGGGGATTTGGGGACTCCAGGGAACGGGGATGGGGGGAGCTAGAGCAAGAGGGCTGGAAATAGGGAGGGTGCCCCCCACCCGAAGCTCAAAGAACCCAGGTGTCCAGGTCGCCAGCTTGGGGGTGGGGGGGCAGGAAATGAAACCTGGTAGAACAGAAAGTGAAACTGCCCAGGTGGGGCCTCGGAAGGAAGGAAAGGGGCCCTAACACACCTGGACCCGGAGGACAGAAAAATAAAACTCCGGTGAGGCCTGAGGGGGGCAGGCTGGGGATTTGACCACTGGACAAAAAATTTCTCGCACAGGACAACCTGCACCCCCCCCCAGCTTCCCACGGAGCCGACTGAGTTGGGGGTAGGGGCTGGACCTGCTAGATTTGGGCGTTGATGGGCAAAGCCCTGTTTTTGCTGGTGACACAGGGTCCGCAGGCGACCACAACTGCCTTGGCCCTGACCACCTGGGACGTCTTTCTCTAAGCTTCAGTTTCCTTGTCTGTAAAATGGGGGAGTTGGCCCCATGTTTCTCTGAAGCCCAAAGGATTCATTTCCAGCAGTCTGAGAAGATCCCAGTATTTGGCTATTTTGCGATTCCAACATGCTCGCATTATAGAATTATACATTCCAGGTTCCCACATATCATTTTATGTTTTAGGATTTTGATCACCTAGATTAGCAATGCTCTAATATTTTAGTGTTCTAGGAGTCTGACAAAGTAGGATTTTAATATTTGAATTTCTTAGCATTAAAGGATTTCAACAACCTAGCATTCCAAAATTCAAACATTTTAACATTCTAGGATTCCAACAACCTAGGAATCTAATATTCCAACACTTTAACATTTTAGTATTTCAACAACCTAGGATTCTGATATTTGAACACTTTAATATCAGGGGAATTCAATGACCTGGGATGTATATTTCAACTATCTGTGATTCTGATATTCTAACAGTTTTACAGTCTGGTACTCCAACAGCATGGAAGCCCACTATTCTAGCTTTTAGCATTCTGGGATGCTGGCATCAAGCTCTACCTGTTTCCTCTTGTCATGACTCCCAGACTCCACCCTGGGGACCCTGGTGTCCAAAACTAAGGCTAGGGTGGGGGCACTGTGATTAGGAGAGGGAACAGAGTTCTCAGGGCCTCTGGGGGTGCAGAAAGGGTACCTGCCCACCCCTCCCCACACATCTCAGACCTGGGGGAGGGCAGGACTCTGAAACCTCACTTGCCCCTGGCACCTATATACCCACACGTGTCACCCGATCGCCATGGCCAGCCTGGGTTCAGTTTCTACTGTTTCCACCAAACGGGAGGCCCTGATGGGCATGAATGTGGAGATGTCCCCACATCTGCCCCCACCTGTCCCTTCCTCGCTACTCGACACCTGGCCCGCCCCTCCCTTCCTCCCTGCCAGCTGCAGAAAACAACATGCAGGGACAGGCAATTTGGGGAGGCCTCTGGGGCACCCCACCCCTGCCCAGTCCTTTCTAAATGGGTCGTGGGGTGAGGCAGCAACTGGGGGCTAATGCCCCCCATCTCTCAGTCACCCAATGCTCAGGTCCCCTCCCTCCCCCACGCCAGGCCTCCGCCAGCGGCCCCTCCTCAGACCGCTCCACGAGCTGGACGGGGCAGCCTCGCGCGCTCACCTTCTGGTCCACGATGGAACACGCCAGCTGCTTCACATGGGCCAGCTCCGAGGCGGCGGGCAACAGCACGAACTCGCGGGTCAGCCCGATCTGGATGTGGAAGGAGACCCCAGTGCCCGGGGCCGGGATCTGGGGCAGCAGCGGTGGTGGCGACTGCAGCTCCAAGCCGCCGGGGGGCGGAGGAGACCCCGGCCCGGGGGATCCCGGGAGCCCCGCGGGATAGGAGGGGGCGGCGGCCATGGGGGGAGGCCCCGGACCGGCCGCCCGGCGCCCACCCGGGATCCGGCTGGGGGAACCGGGTTCTAGATCGGAGGGATCTTGTGAGCTGGTGCTAAGAGCGCGGGGCCCAGAGACGGGAAAGCTGGCAGATTGAGGGGACCTGCGGGTGGCAGGGTCCTGGGAAATGAGAGAAAAGGACGCCTGGAATCCAGGGATCACAGAAGACAAGAAAGGAACAAAGGAGCGGTTCGGGGGACCCGGCGATCAAGAGACTCTAAGAACCGGAGAGGAAAATCTAGCAGGTCGGGGTAGATCGCAGGGGTCGGGGAGCCCGCGATGCGAAGGTCCCTCGCAGAGAGGGGCTGCGGGAGCGGGGGATGCAGGGTCCGTGCTCCAAGAGCAGGCTTCCACTGAGAAGGCGGCCCGAGGGAGTCGCGGACCTGGGCGGCGGGGACCAGGCTCTCGGAGTCGGGGTCGAGCGGCCCCCGGGACCCGACGGGCACGGGGATGGGCAGAGGGGGCCTGGGCGCTGGGTGGGAAGGAGGGAGTCTCACGGGCCGCGGAAGTTGGAGAAAAGTTCGGTCGGGAGCCGGGGAAGACGGCGTTACCGGCGGCGGGCTAGGGGACGGGGCAAGGGAGGGTCGCCGGGCGCGGGCGGCGCTTTTCCCCTCCAAAGTTTAAGTCCGCGGCGGCGGCGCAGGAGGAAGTGTCCGGAGCGACGGCGCCGTCGGCCAATCGGCGCGGGCCGCGGTGACGTCATGGGGGGCGGGGCCTGTCTGGGGCCGGGGGCGGAAGGGGAGGGCGGGCCCGGCGCCTCCAGTTGGGGGCCTGGGACGGGGCGGGAGTTGCGGGGCTGGCGGGCAAGACCGATTCCTCCCCTCAACACACGCGAGTCTGGAAAGTTAACTTTTCCCTGAGCTGAGCGGGGAGGGGCGAGCCACCCTCACCCGGCCACCCAGGTCGCGGGGACCCGACTAGGAGGCGACTGGCCCTTTAAGGAGAGGAGCCTTCTTGGCTGGCCCGCATCCGGCGCCCACCGCGGAGAAGGGATGGGAAATAGGGTGTCGGGTCGGGCCAGGGCCAGCTGTCTGAGCTCGGCCTCTGTCTTCTCAGCGCACACTCACCCCCGCACACTCACCCGCAGCTCATTGGACAGGTGGGAAGATCCGGCCTCCAAATGTCTCCAGAGACCTGGGGCAAGGGGCATGGGGTTGTCAGTGCCCCCGGCCCTCAGGATGCTGCCTGGGGGTGCCCGGGAGGGAGGACAACACGCCCCCACCACTTCACAAGCAGTGAACTGACAAGCTCCTGGGGACATGTCTTTCTGTATGACTTTAAGTGGGTGACTTCCCTTCTGTGAGCCTGTCTTTCCATCTGTTAGATGGGACTGTAATAGGACTGAGTCCAGAGGGGATTGTGGGATGGAGATGGTATACAGGTACCTGGGGCACAGCAAACGTTCAGTAAATGGTGGCTGTCACTAACAATGTGCAGAGGTAAAGGGGGGGACCTCAAGCACTCGGGCATTCATAAGTGGGTATGTCCATTAGTTAGTCACCCAGAAAATACCTGTTGAAACCCACTGCGTTGCCCCTTTGGGAGCAATCGGACTTGATTTCTCCTCCCCAGCTAATAATCCAGTGGTGGCTGCCCTTTAGTACACACTGGACGCTGAAGCCTCAGAGGAGCAAGAGACTTGTCCAAGATCACCAAGTGAAGTTGCCCCACCCACCTCCTTCACCGACAGGTCACAGCCAGGTTTGAGCCCCAAAGACATCCCAGAGCTGGGCCACCAGGACTGGCTGGGGATGGCAGCTGCCCACAGAGCCCCCCTTTCTGGTACAGGGCCAAGGAGGGTAGCTGAGGTCCATACAGTATCGCTCTGTCACCACATCCGGGGGCTGGGGCTGGGGAAGGAAGTCTGAGGCTGGAAGGAAAACCAAACCACCTAGGGAACTGTGCAGGGCCCAGGATGACAGGGGAACAAGGCCACGTGGAGCCCACAGTAGGCTCCTGTCAGTGTCACCTGAGGGCCTCTGTACCCGTTTTCCAGAGGGGCAGATGACTATCGCAGTGAAATGCTAACATGTCCCGAGTGTGCAGTTCACAGGCCTCAACCCAGGAGGTGGGCACGAGTGTCATGTTCTGGAGGCGCTGGGACTCGCCTGAGGACACCGGCTGCTAGGCGGTGAAGGCCTCAGAGCAAAAGGAGATGGCATTGGACACAAAACCTGACGACCTGCCAGAGACCGAGAGCAACCCCTGTCCTGTGTTGTGTACCATGTGGATGGTGACAGTCCCCCCACCAAGGCTGTGAGAGGGCTTGGCACAGCAAACATCGGCCACTGAGAAGGGAAAGGAGGGACCATTGGGGGGCCGCAGCTCTTTTCTAAGGAGCCCCCAGCATGGCAGAGCCTGCAGCTGGTGACACCATGACCGGTCATTCTATGGTGGTGGGCCCCAGGCTTCCCCGCCTGCTGCAGGTGGCCCAGCACAGAGCAGGGAGGGGAGGGAGGTCTGACTCCGGGCGCCAGCCATTCCCCCTCACACCCTTCACACATCCAGGAGGGGGGTTCAGCTGAACTGTCACCTCACAGCCTCTGCTTGCCCGGCTTTGCCCCTGGGGAGGGAGTGCTTAGGAACAGAAAGAAGGGGCGCAAGGAGATCCGGTCCAGTGCCCCCGTTTCCGCCCTCCACCCACACCCCGCCCAAGCTCGGCCCCTCCCCAGCCCCCCTTGCCCTACCACAAAACCCCAACCATCACATGGCCTCGCTCCAAACTCCACCCAGCCTTGGCAGGGCCAGCCACACCTCCCCCAAGTCCCCAGGCCCCCCACAGATGGCACTGTCACCCATCTTACTCCAAAGGGTTTATTGAGACAAGTTTTCACATACAAGATAGGGGCAGAGGGGATGGGGCTTATAAACAGGAACCTGGGAGGGGGACCGAGGAGGTCACAGGGTGGAACCAAAGAGAGTGAAATAAATAGAGGGAGAAAGTGGAGGGCCAGGATGGAGACTGACCAAGACTATCACACAGTGATAACGAGGGTGGGGGCGGGGGCGGGGCCATTAAAATCCTGTTATTTATACAGATATACAGGGAGTTAAGGGGGCCCAGGGCACCCTACTCCACCCTCCACGCCCCGGAGGTGGGGCATGAGAAGGCCATCTCTCCCTATGGGCGACCCCGCGGGCGGGAGGGCCGCCCCGGGAGGAGTGGTGGGCAGTTCCTGGCCCGGAGGCCTTGGTTAGTGTCTGGAAAGCAGTGGAGGGGGCCGGGGAGGGGCCGGGCCCAGGGCTCAACTCTGCGGCTCCGGCCCACCCAGGAGGGGCATGTGTCCGGGATCCCTCCCAGCGCGGCCCCCACCAGGTCTGGGAGACGGAGAGGAAGGGGGCAGGAGCTCAAGGGGAGAACCTGGCACCTTCTGGCATCTTGGAAAAACTGATCCTCAAAAACACCCAGCCCTGGCTGCGCTGCCTGCAGAAGGCAGCTCTATACCAGCAGCGGGTGTCAGGGCCCAGGGAGAAACCCCCAGGGACCGTCCTTGAGGGGTGATTCCTGAAAGGGGCGCATCCCCAAGTCAGATGCTGGGGAGAGAGCGTGGGGGAGGGGATTCCTGGGGAAGGGCCGCTAGCACCACCGGGCTCCACAGCAGCCGCGAAGAGGCCAGGCCTCTGCGCCTCTGGAGTGAAGGTGAGTGTCACCTGCGGGAGACAGGGAGGGGACACTAGACCATGGCCTCTAGGGCACAGCTCCTTCAACACCCTGCCCTCCATACCCCGGGGCTGCCTCAGTGATTCTCACAGGGTGGCCCCAACTGGACTGTGGCACCTCAGCGGGTGTGAGGACCCCACAGGGCTGCGGACACAGGCGGTCTCCACCCTCCTGCCCAGAGAACGAAGGGGCCAGGCCCTCACCTCAGCCCCACCCGCCCACCCCGCTCGGCAGCCCGCGTGCGGCCACGGCGGGGCCAGGCGGGCATCATACGAAGACCTTGGCCAGGGCGTCGGCGCCGGCGCTGGCGATGAGCGCCTTGCTGGGGTGGCAGGCGACGGCGTGGATGGCCTCCTCGTGCTTCTTGCGGTGGGCTGTGATCTCCTGCACGCAGGTTTTGTTGTCCAGGCTCCACAGGCGCAGGGAGCAGTCGTGGCCTGCGCAGGGGTGGGGAGACAGGGCTGTCACCGAGCTCCTCACGCAAATACCTGGCCTTGGGGTCAGGTGCGACTCAACCCTCTTCCCTGCCCTCCCTGCCACCGGCCCAGAGGAGACCAGAGGAGAATGCTTTTGTTCCATCCTGTCTCCCATCCATCGAGGCACCAAGTACTACTGAGCGCCTTCTGTGTACAGGCCCTGGGGGTACAGGGAGCACCAGCCGCTCTCCCTGCACTCCAGCACCAACCCTGCGGGGCGGGAGGCCACACGCAGGGGAACAGAAATCAGCCTGTGGCCAGCATGAGGACAGAATGGCCCGAGGAGGAAGGAGGGGAGGACATGAAGGCAGAGCCCAGCCGTGACCCCACTGGGGTCTCCAGGGGGTCTGACGCCGACGGCCTCAAAACAGCCTTCATCCACCCACGGTCCAGCCCGGCCCCTCTGGGCACAGCCCCACAGCCACGGCCTCAGTGCCCTCATGCAGAGAGAGCAGCGTGGGACTCAGCGCTCAAAGTCCCCATGCAGTTTCGTTAGATAGGCCTGGACTTCCATTCCCACAGCCCACTGGGCTGTGACCAAGTCACAGGACTTAGCTCTGAATGTCAGGTCCCACATCTGTAAAATGGAGACAAAGTGGCTAGCACACAGGGTTGCTTAGAAGATTTTTTTTTTTTTTTGAGACAAAGTCTCACTCGTTCTATTGCCTGGGCTAGAGTGCCGTGGCCTCAGCCTAGCTCACAGCAACCTCAAACTCCTGGGCTCAAGCGATCCTCCTGCCTCAGCCTCCCGAGTAGCTGGGACTACAGGCATGCGCCACCATGCCTGGCTAAGTTTTTCTATATATTTTTAGTTAACCAATTAATTCCTTTCTATTTTTAGTAGAGATGGGGTCTCGCTCTTGCTCAGGCTGATCTGGAACTCCTGACCTTGAGCAATCCTCCCACCTCGGCCTCCCAGAGTGCTAGGATTATAGGTGTGAGCCACTGTGCCTGGCTAGCTTAGAAAATTAACTAATATGCCACAGGTACCAGCGCTGCCAGTGGGCTCTGACCCTGTGCTTCGCTGCCCTGTCCTATTATGTCACTATGACCACGGTCACTCCTGCCCAGACCAGCTTCCTCCCAGTCCCCAGCCCAGGAGTGCCCGTGCACTCGCCTGGGGCCAGTGCCCAGGTCTCTTCTCCCCACCCTCGGTGGGTCCAGCAAGCTGCACCCCTGCTGCGGAAAGGACAGATATGAGGGCCCCAACTTACTTCCTGACATCAGGAATACGCCGTTGGGGTCCACGGCTAGGCAGGTGACCGCGTCCAGGTGGGCAACCATGGAGTGCACGGATTTACCTGAGGGGAGATGGGTGGTGGCAGCGTCCTCTCTCACTCCGGGCCTCACCTGGGAAGGTGAGGGGGCTGGAGGAGATGCCCCGAGAGCCTCTGACGGGGACATGAGGACTTTTGCTGTCTGTGTCTGTCGGGAGTGGGGCCAGCCAGAGGCTGGGCCTCACCTGTCCGATTGTCCAGGAAGCGGATGCCCCTGTCGTCGTGGGCGGTGATGGTGAGGGGCCGGTTTGGATGACTCACTACTTGGTTGATCTGGGTCGGGCCTGGAAGGAAGACGGGGAGAGGAAAGGGCATCAAGGGGACAATCAGGGAGCCAGGACAGAGGCAAGAAAGGAGTCTTGCTGACCCCACAACCCACCCCAGTGTCAAGGTTGGGGACCCACAGGCCACTCCTTTCCCGGCCTCAGTGCTGCTTCTACAAAATGAGCCCTGGGCCCTATTTTGGGGCTTGGGGAGGAGTGACAAGGGACAAGAAAACGTGCATCTGCTCCACCAAGAGGTCCATGACGCACTCTCCCCTTGGCCCCCGAGAGCCCGAGCTGTGAGTGCGGCAGGGCTGCGCCCTCCACCGGACCTTATTTCCTTCCTGTCAGGGCCCCTGGGGCGCAGGGCAGTCATCTCGAGCTGACTGACAAGCAGGTCACCAAAGCCACAAGAGGAACTGGGGCCTTGAAGGCATGCAGACCCCAGTCCCAGCCTGGCCCAGCCAGGGCTCTGGGGGCCCCTTACCGCTGCTGCCGCGGGACTCCAGTGTGAGAAGGGCACTGCCAGCCTCCAGGTCGTACAGGACGGTGTCGCCAGAGCGGAAGGAGGCCACGATGTGGGCAGGCTCGGTGCTGGTGAAGGCCACTGAGGTGGGGATCCCGTGTTCTGGGGGCACAGGGGACAGAAGGCTGCCTGATGCCCAGTCCTGCCCTGGGGTCGGGCTGCAGGGCGGGAGGCCTGGGCCCTCCTCAGGAGCCCCCCTGGTGGCCTCCAGCGGGTCCCCCACTCACCACTGGTCGTGGGGAAGGTACAGAGGCAGGTCGGGCTGCTGCTGCTGGGGTCCCAGATGCGGACGGTGCCGTCAGCGGAGCAGGAGGCCAGGCGCTGGGAGGTGGGACTGAAGGCCAGGCCCCACACCGCGTCCCCGTGGCCCTCCAGGACATGGCTCAGCACGCTTGGGTCTGGGAGGAGAGGGGCCGCATCAGGCCTGCCAGCCGCACTCCAGACAGTCCGGAGCTCCGGCTCGGCCGCGCCCTGGGCAGCTGGGCTTGAGTCATCTGTTCATCCAGCCTCATGCCCAGAGCCCCGCTCCCTTGGAGCTGCCCACCACTGGGACAGACCAGCAGCTGCACAGTGACCGCTAGCTCTTTGGGGAAGATTCTAGGGCTCCCCCAGAGGGCAGGGATATCCCTCTGTTCATGGCTATCTCCCCAGGGTCCAGAAACCAGTGCTCAATACGTAATTTTTAGGACTCAGTTAAGGAAAGAAGGAGCAGGGGAGGTTCTGCGAGCCCCGAGGGTTGGCACACAGCCTCTGTCCACCGCACGGGGCCCACCCTTGGCCTGAGACTGCTTTGCCCAGTCTCTCTAAAGCTCTCTGTCGTTCAAAGCCCCACCATGGCCTCCCTGGTCACTGGGATCCACACAGGTGACTCTGGCCTGAGCCCTATTGACGTGGCTGGGGCTGGCCCTTGACCTCTCGTGGGTGGGACTGCTCTCTGAGCGTGTCTGTTCCTCAAGGAGGGACACAGCCCTCTGAACTTTGCCACGACGATATTAGCACGGAGCTATGTGAATGATCAAGAGGTGTCAGAGAGCAAGTGGAAAGACACTGAACAGAAGCAACAGTCTGGTCATGTCTCCACTTAACTCTTTTTTTTTTTTTTGAGACAGAGTCTTGCTCTGTTGCCTGGGCTAGAGTGTCGTGATGTTAGCCTAGCTCACAGCAACCTCAAACTCCTGGGCTCAAGTGATCCTCCTGCCTCAGCCTCCCAAGTAGCTGGAACTACAGGCATGCACAACCATGCCTTGGCTAATTTTTTCTATATACTTTTAGTTGTCCAACTAATTTCTTTCTATTTTTAGTAGAGACGGGGTCTCACTCTTGTTCAGGCTGGTCTCGAACTCCTGACCTTGACAGATCCTCCCCCCTCGGCCACAACCGGCCTCCACTTAACTCTTAAATGCCCCAGGATCAAGTTCCAGCTCCCTACACCCTGGCCGGGCTAACTCCACCTTCTCCACTCGCTCCCCACACACTCCCAGAACTCGGTCGAGCAGACATCCCAGCAAGAGGCGGATGCTGAGCGTGTTCAGAAGGAACGACCAGGCCCCAGTGGGCGTTGGTGGAGGAAGGGAAGGCAGGGAGCTACCCTCACCGTAGCCATCATAGGGGTCCATGTTGAGGTCTGGAATCTTCCAGCTGTGGATGCAGGCATCCGCCCCGCCACTGTAACAGTACTCGCTGTTGCTGCCCATGGCGACTGCCAGCACAGGGCCCCTGGAGGGTACAAAGATGGGTGGAGGGAGATGAGACAAGAAGCTCAAAACCTTCCTTGGCCACAGGACCTCCAAGTTCCCTACTCGCATCTTTCAAGGATGGCCAAAAAGAATTCAGCTACTATGGCTCTGGCCGTGCCACCCGGGCCAGTTGCGTGTGCCCTGCCTTCTGCCAGCCCCCGCCTCCGTGTCCTCCCCTGAGAACCGGCCACCAGGGCCACATGAAAGTTGGCACAGAGCCCCAGAGCCAGGGCGTGTATGGGCTGAGGGTTCCACTGTGCAGGACAGGAGAGGCGTCGGGACTCAGCTTTCCTGCTGCCTGCCTCCTGCCATCGTCCTGCTGCGGTGGCAGAGAGCAGGTCAGGGATCAGACAGCTAGGTTTCCAGCAGGCTCGGGCCACCTCCCTACCTGTGCGCCCGGAAGGCGTGAATAGGTTCCACATCTAGCGCAGCATTCCTGTGGGGAGACAGAGGAGCCCGATGTCACTGAGGCCCCTGTCATCCTATGCCCTGGGCCCGGGTGCCCCCACGCCCCCACTCTGGGGTTGCTGCCCTCACTTCTTGGCCGTGACCGCCTTCTGCAGGTTCCAGAGCTTGAGCGTGCCGTCCTCGGAGGCGGTGAGCAGCGCCGCCTGGCTGCGGTGGAAGGCCAGGGAGCGGATGCCGTCGTAGTGTGAGCGCAGGGTGAACTTGGGGTTCCAGGTCTTCTTGAAGGCATCTTTGCTGTCAGACAGCTGAGGGGGTGGGGAGCTGCCTCAGTGGCCCTCACCCGTCCCAGCAGTCACGCAGACACTGCCGCCTCTAACAGGACTGCGGGACCCCTCCATTCCCCACACGGATCCCCGGCAAGATGGGGGGCTGGGCCTTCTCTCCTGAGTCCCAGCGCCCTAGCAGCCCAGGGTGCTCGCCCCTTCCTCTTTGCTGGGCCGAGTCCCCTCGCTCACTAGGCAAGTTCTTGCAGTGTGACAGGTCTGGAGAGACAAGGCTGAGCCTGACCCCTTGGAGTCTCCCGGCTCAGAGGAACAGGGACCAGGGTGGACAATCAGACCATCCCACAAGTGCACAGAACTCCGAGCTACGTGCAGTGCAATGAATTAAAAACGCACAAGGCGGAGATAACAGACGGCCTGGCCGCCTCCATGGGGTCGGTAAGGCCTTCCTGAGGAAGAGGCAAGCGAGCAGGACTTGACCACACAAGGGAAGCAGGATGGGGAATGGCACGTGCAAAGGCCCTGAGGCAGGAGGCAGCAAGGGTGGGGCCGGGGCTGAGAGGCCAGCGCAACCCAGGATCAGACGATGAGGAGAGCAGCAGATGAGGGCAGGAGGGCGGCAGGAGCCAGAGTGGGGAGCACCATTAGAACCTGCACGTCATCCTTGGAAAAAAGCCGCAGATAACTGGGGATCCAGGGAAGGATTTAGAGCAAGGGAATGACATGGCTTTCTCTGGCCACCCCATGGGAGGCTCGGATGAGGGGCAGGTAAGAGTAGCTGCAGAGAGAGGTTAAGAGGTTACGAAGTCCCAGGGAGAGAGGAGGACATGTAGACTGGAAACTTGACCATGGAGGTGGAGCGGGGACACGCCGAGGGAGGCACCGGGAGCAGAATCAACAGGACTGTTAGGGGCGCTGCACATGCCCTGATGGAAAGTAGAGCCGCCGGCCATGCACCCCGAGTGACCCCCTCCCCCAGGCAGGGGACCCGGAAAGGCCGGGCTTGGGAAAGGAGATTGCCAGGTGAGCCTCGGGACCCTGACCCAAGATGGGATTCCCATCTGAAGAACCCTCTGCCTGGGCTCAGTCCATCCCCAAGGCCCCCGCCCTAGCTGTCACTTCTGCCGTTCTCTTTAGGGCCACAGCATCAGCTATCGTGTAGTTCCTCTGCCCCCTCCCCCAGCACGGGCGACATCCTGAGGAGCCCGAGGCACGCTCCAAGGCTCCCTTCCACGTCCCACAGCAGGGCGCCAGCCTCACTGGGATCAACACCTGAGGTCCCGCCCGGCCACAGGAAACGCGCACGCATATGCAGGCCAGAGGTTCCTAGATGGCCAGGGGCCCGTCTGGGTCTCAGGCTCAGAACACGTCATTCTACCCACTGGCCCGATTCACACCAGACTAGCCTTATTTTGGGGGGGCTTTGGCTCGAGGCCATCTTCCCACACCCCAAAATGCCAGGGGCGGGAGGGAGCACTGAGTGAAGGAACCTGGCACCGGGATCAAGACCCGGGCTCCAGAATCTTCCAGGCCCTGCTCCTCAGTGACCACCGGCACGTCCCTTCGCCTGCCTGCACCTGCAGCCCGCTGTGAAACAGCGAGCAGGAGAAGCCACCTCCCAGGGCTGTGGGTGACCTCACACGGAAGGTGCTGAGCACAGCAAAGGCTGGCCCTGGGTATGACAGCCACAGGGGGCTGGGCTGGGGCACCTGGAGAACTTACATCACAGCTGAGGTCGTTGTCGTTGGTGACGGTGAGATCTGCCAAGTCCCCCAGGCTCACCTCCCCGCCCCCGATAGTGTCCATGATGAAAACGTCTGAGGAGAAGCCAAAGGAACCTGGTAGGGGGAGGGGAGGGAGGGGCAGAGAGGGCCGGGGAGAGAGAGGACGAGAGAGAGGCGGAGAGAGATAAGGAACAGGAGAGACAGGGAGAGGACGAGACCAAGAATCACAGCTGAAAAGGAGGGGACAGAGAGAGACAGACAGACAGGGCAGGACAGACAAAAAGAGAGGGAGACAGAGACAGACAGACAAACTTTTGGGATAGGGAGGCTGCAGGCTGGAGGCTGGGCCTCGACCCTGAGGACACAGAAGCCCTTGGCTTAGCTCTGCAGCCTCCCTCTGCTGTGGGCCCACAGGACCAGGCTGGGGGCACAGTGGGTCTCTTACCTTCGTGTGGCCGGGGCTGGGGAGTGCCAGGAGGTGGGCCGGTCACTTTGGGGGGCAGCCCGTCCACATCCCGAAGGTCAGCCAGGATGCCCTGGAGCTTGACCCGCCGGCTTTCTGCAGGGGCGAGGCACAGAGAGGAGTTGCCCACAGTCCCCAACCCAGCCTCACGCGGGAGATGCCTTCCCCACCACCAGGGGCCTCCCTGTGACTGTGGGTGGGCGGCTATGAAGCTCTGGGCCCAGGTGGCAGACTGGCAGAGGACACAGAGGCTGAGCAGGACCCTCTGTGGGGCGGTGGGCAGGTCACTGCCTTTGCCTGGGCCTCAGTCCCCAGCCATGCACCCCGAGTGACCCCCTCCCCCAGGCCCTCCTAGCCAGGAGGCACAGGACAGGGAGGAAGACGCAGCCCTGCCCCACCGGCCTCTCCCCCACCGGGTCCTCATCCTGTTCCCTCCTTGAGGCCAGCCAGAATTGGATGTGGGCCGGCCCGTGTCTACAGGGGGATTTTCCAGGGAAGGGGTGAGGGGCCTGGCCGCTACAGCTCGGGCCTCCGGCTCGCCTTGGCCACTCTCCTCTCAGGAAGTGTATCCGTCCGGTGGCGACCCTGGGGCAGGAAGCAGCTGCAGGCGGCTGTGTGTGGAAGGGGCAGGACCCAGGGCCTGGCCCCACCACCACTGTCATGGCCAGAGAATGCCCGACTCACCCAGCTCGTGGGGGCTCCCATCTGCGGTGCAGCGCCGAGGGTCTGGAGACCCCTCCCCGTCCTCTCCTGAGCCCAGGAAATCAAACTCGTTGATGGCGTCCTCGGAGTCATCTTCCTCATCCTCATCTTCCATTTCAGGCACCAGGGCCTTGGAGGGGAGCTGGGGCATGGAGAAGCAGGCAGGTCAGGGCGCTCCTGTCCAGAGACTAACCTCCCCCCCAGTAAGCAAGAAAAGATGAGCCCGGGTTCCCAGCCTTTTGCCTGTCCCTTCAGAAGGGACCGCCTCTGCGGCCAGCCACTGCCTGTGCTGCCCGCCCACTACGTGTTCCCCCCACCGAGGCCTGCAGCCACTGCCTGTCCCGCCCCGCAGCCTGGCTGTGGAGCCCCTTCCCGGCCCCTCACGCTCACGCAGCCCCTCCTCCTGGCCTGTGCAGGGGTGGCCCTGTCCCACAGCAGTCAGGCTCGAGACAACGGGCTGGCCGGGAGAGCGGCGCGTACCCATTCCGCGTGCGCATGAACGAGGGGCACGGTCACGGTGAGGACGAGTGGCCCCAGCGCTTTAACACGGGTCCAGCAGATGATAAGTAAACACCAAACACTGTCCCAGCTGCGGTGCGCACACAAGAACAAGTCACGTGCCCTGAACGGGCACCAAATAAGCTTCCCATAACACGTGGCTTCAACTAACCCCCAACCTTGTGAACTGTGATTGTTGTAATTATTATTCCCATATCACGGGCAAGGAAACTGAGGCTGAGCAGAGGGAAGCTGTTTGTCCCAGGTCGCCAAGCCTGACCTCTGCCCATGCCCTGGGCAGCCTCAGCCAACTGTGTACTCTGCCAGGGTGCGCTGACCCTCTACCACGCTGAGTCGGGCAGGCATGAGGAGCCAGTCTCTGGCTCGCGTGGGGGATGCAGAGAGACAGGACGTGGCGACCTGGGGTGGAGGTGTGGACAGCAGGCCCAGAGAGGTAGCAGCTGGGGTCTGGACTCCATGGAAGCCTGGAACCGTCGCAAGCGCACTGAAGGGTGCACGAGAACAGGGCCCTGTCACCCACACTCTTCCAATGGTGCCCATGACCATGAGAGCTACACCGCTAATCACTCCCACCGGTGCCACCAGCCATCAACGACACCCACTGAGCACGCAGGGGGGCCGGCCGCCGTGGTGCAGCTGAGGGCTTTCTGTGCATTGGCCCATTTGAATTAAATCCTCAACAACCAGAGACCGGGACTCTCAGCCCCGTTTTATGAGTTCGGAAACTGAAGCTAAGACATAGAGAAGCACATGCCCAAGGTCACACAGCCAGGCCAGTGGCCAATCTGGGAGTCACAGCAGGGCTTCTGGGTCACAGCGAGGCTTCAAGCTGAGCCTCCCTGAAGGTCTGCTGTGTGGCCACAGAGAGCCCTGCACAACACGCCAGCCCAGAGGTGGAACGAGTGTGGTGACAGATGTGAAGGCCACAGGAGTATGAAAATTCAGGGATGATTTCTGATGGGAGAGGCAGAGAGGGGCCTCCACCCAGGCAGAACCCCGGACCCAGCCACACTCGTTCGATGCACAGATATTTACTGAGGGCCTGTGTTCTAAACCCTTTTCAGGGCCCAGGGACAGAGCAGCAAAAAGACCCACAAAAATCCCGGCCTGGCCGGGCGCGGTGGCTCACGCCTGTAATCCTAGCTCTCTGGGAGGCCGAGGCGGGCGGATTGCTCGAGGTCAGGAGTTCAAAACCAGCCTGAGCAAGAGCAAGACCCCGTCTCTACTATAAATACAAAGAAATTAATTGGCCAACTAATATATATAGAAAAAATGAGCCGGGCATGGTGGCGCATGCCTGTAGTCCCAGCTACTCGGGAGGCTGAGGCAGGAGGATCGCTGAGCCCCGGAGATTGAGGTTGCTGTGAGCCAGGCTGACGCCACGGCACTCACTCTAGCCTGGGCAACAAAGTGAGACTCTGTCTCAAAAAAAAAAAAAAAAAAAAAAAAAAAAATCCCAGCCTGGTGGCGCTCACAATCTACTTAAGGACACAGAGCAAATGGTCACACCGAACACGCAGCATTGGAACTGGCGGGGCCGCCCGAGAGGGGGCGGTGCGAGTGGGGCTCAGGCAGGCCTCTAAGGGACATCTGGGATGAAGCCACAGAGGACAGAGAGTTACGGTGGTGTAAGTGGGAAATGGGGCAGCACAGGCAAAGGCCCTGACGGCAAACACGCAGGCACCTCTGCAGGGTACTGAGGCACAGCCCTGTCGCAAAAGGAACTGGGACTTGGGGAAGGGCTGCAAACGGGCCGCACCCAGACCAGGACGCCGGGCGTGTGACGGGAGGCGCTCACCTTCACGCGCTGCTTCTTGTGCTGCACGCTGTCCAGCTCGTCGTCCTCGTCGCTGTCTTCGTCCTCGCAGTTCTGCAGGAAGGGGATCTGCTCCAGCACCGAGCCACCCAGGCGCTCCTTGCCGTCTTTGCCCGCTGCGTTCCTGACAAGGGGGCAGAGGGGGTTTCAGTCCTGCTGGGTGTCAAAGCTCAGAAGGGAAGGTGCCTGCCCAGGCGTGGTGGCCAGAGCCTGGACCCAGCTAAGCCCTTTAGCCCCGAGTAGCCTTGACCCTAATAACACACAGGGCCCTGACCCCAGCCTCTGCCCCACGCATGCCCATGCCAACCAGAACCTCATTCCACCCAGACTGAGCCCCGACCCCCCAACCCTGACCAAACAGCTCCAGCATGTGCTGAGTCGGAGGGACGCTGGAGAGAGTGGCACTCACTCGGCAGCCCCCATTCCCGTGCCCGGTCAGATCACAAGGGCAGGTCAGGCAAGGCACAGACGCCCCCAGCAGGAAGGAGGAACCAGCCACTCTGCAAATGCTCCCACAGCTACAGCCAGCTAGGCTGTCAACAGCAGGGGCACCGGCGCCCCTGCTCCTGAGGAGCCTGAACCATCCCCAGCGACAGATGGCACTCCTACTTCACCTCCCAGCCTCCAACATGATGACAAGTTTTAGCAGGGGAGGAGGTGTTTACCAAACCTGACTCCGCCACCCGTAAAGGCAGGGGGGAATTCAAAGTTCAGATAAATGCAATCCTTTTTGCCATCAGGTTGACGCTTTAGAGAGTTCTTGCAGACTGCCCAGGTGTACAGTTACCACTCGGTAGAATCACTGCAGATTTCCCCTCACTTGCCTCCAGGCTGCCACACCCAGAATTCACTTGGGCCAGGACACCGCTCTCATTCTCACTCCCAGCCTTCCTCCACCGACTGGCTGCCAGCTCAGCCTGCTCCTGGCTTCCTCCCCTGCTCCAGCCTCTGAGCTCAGCGAGTCCCCAAGGCTCTGGCCTTGGATCTCTTCCCTGCACTGTCTACACTCAGTCCCTCAGTCCCCGAGCTGGCCCGTGTGCTGTGCCTCCCAGGACTGCAGCCTCCCACAGCCACAGACCTTCCTGCCTCAGGCGCTTTGCGTTTGCCCTTCCCTCTGCCCAGAACATTCTCCTCCCTGCCACTGTGTGCCTTACCCTCCGTTCCACGCAGTTTTCTGCCCAAATGTCACAGGACAGAGATGCCCCAATGTCCAGAGGTGCTCCCTGCCCCCATCCAAAGTAGCAGGATCTCTCCTCTCGATCAGATTACCTTTCCTATTCTCCATAGCGCTTAGCAACACCTACATGACCTTATTTATTGTGATGAATTAATAATTAATCAGATTAGAGAATAAACAAATAAAAGCCCCCCAGGGCAGCAACCGCGTGTTTTCTCCCGCTGGAAGCCACCCAGGGCGCCTCAGTAGGTGCTGGGCGTTGCTAAGGAGTGCACAGGCACGAGACCCGCGAGAGGGGCAGCCTAGAGACGAGGCCGTGCAGAGTGTACAGGGGGACAGAATCCAGGGGGTCCCAGCAATGAAGGGGAAGGGGGTTCTGGAACAAACAATCCCATGATATGTTCCAGAAGGAGAAGGGGCCGCCAGCGCATGCAGGAACGCTGGCTGTCTTTCTGACACTGTCCCGCATGGGGTGGGGGACGGAGGGATACACTGCCAAGCCCAAGGGCTCACCTCTTTATCTGCTCCTCGATCTGCTTCACCAGCAGCGACTCACCGCCACTGAGCCCGCCAGGGGCCGGCGTGGCCCTGGGGCCCCCTTCGCTAGGCTCTGCAGCCCCGTTGAGCTCCAGCGAGCGACCCAACAGGGAACGGACGCGCTTGGAACGCATGTCGAGGATGGTGTCTGTGTAGCCTACCTCCTCCAGGTACCTGCAGGGGTACAGAGCCAGTGCGGGTCAGATGTCCCCTGGGCTTCTTCATATACTTCCGGGACCAACACAAACAGGGACACCCTGGTGCAGGGCAACTGAAGGGTATACGTAAGAGTATACACCAAAATTTGACATAAGCATACCCCCAGTGCAGCAGTTTCTCTTTTGAGACTCCTTCTAGTGGAAGCCCTTACACCCATGCACAATGTTATCGTACAAGGACGGTCCCTGCAATGTCGTATGGGGGAGTCCGAAGTGCAGGGACCAACCTCAACATCCACTGACAGGGACCGTGATAGGAATGCTAGGCCGAAAATAAACACAGTAGTGTCAAGGAAAGCTGGCCACGATGAACAGCGCAGTGAAAACAGTAAGTTACAAGTTCCTTACCAGGCCAGTGTTTGTGTAAAGAAAAAAAAGCATTAATATGTGTGTAAGTTTACATCACACGGAAACACACCTTTGTATCACTCTCCCACCCAAGAGGCCTAGAAAGATACACGTGAAACTTAATAGCAGTGACCTCTACAGAGTGGGATGAGCGACGTAAGAGGGACATTTGCAACTTACTTCTACAAATGAGCACGTATTACTTCTACAATTTAAAAAGAAAAAAAAAAGAACAAAAATCAATTACGGCTATCTGTGGCTTCAAAAGATAGGAGACAAAGTCCCTTGCTGGTCCTCAAGAGGCTTCTTGGCCAGGAAGCCTTTTTGTTCCCCTGTGTGTTTAGAGTCTTGACCCTGCCCCTCACATATGTCATCTCTTAAGTGCCTGTTGTCTCTGAGGCTCCCGTGTCCCCACCAGCAGAGGCAGGGAAGCACGGCGGTTTAGCAGTTGGGCTCTGGGCACGGACTGCCTGAGACCCCATCCCAGCAACCACACGACCTTATGCAATCTGCACCTCAGCTCTGCCACCTGTGAAAATGAGAGGAATGCTAGCAGCTATGCCATACTGGGACTTATGTCAGGAATTGACGTGAGGAAAGTGTTTAGCCAAGTGCCATGCACAGAATAGGTACTCGGTTAAGGGTGGCCTGTTATTATTACTATTATCATTTTGGGGTTATTGTTTGTGCACACTTTAAGCCAGCAATTGCACATCCAGATATTTAGCTTGACGACATCAAGGATAGGCACAAATATCTTCCTGATGGTTGTCACATTATCTATAATACTAAAAAATTAAAAGCAACCTCAACAAAATACATAAGAAGGAACTGGCTATAGATACGACTGACGATTATACAGTTCTGTAATGCCAGCACTTTAGGATGCTGAGGCGGGAGGATTGCTCCAGGCCAGGAGTTCAAGACCAGCTTGGGCAACATAGTGAAACCCTGTCTCTACAAAAAATAAAAAATCAGCTGGGCATGGTGGTTCGCACCTGTAGTCCCAGCTACTCAGGAAGCTGAGGCAGGAGATTGCTTGAGCCCAGGAGTTAGAGGTTATGATCTGAGCTATGATCACGCCACTGTACTTCATGCTAGGTGACAGAGCAAGACACTATCTCAAAGGAGAAAGCAAGCAACATAACTAATTTATATGGACAGATGTTCATAGCTCTTAGCAAAAATAATACATAAGAAAACAATCAAATAGGAAATGGGAAATCCAAGCTTTTATAAAATACACACGCACACACACACACAAATACACCGCCATGGAAGAGACTGACAGTATATATGCTAAAATGTTTACAGGGTATGAAACTCCCTTGGGTGGCAGAATTATGAGTGATGTGTTTCTTTGTGCTCCGTTCTATTTTCTGAGTTTTCCAAAATGCACAGATCTCTTCAGTAATAAAAAAAATAATAATTTAACGTTACCCCTTTAAGAAATGCCATAGAGGCATTCGGGGTCACATTCCAAGAGTGAGGGTCCCCACACAGACCTCCTGTAGCAAGTCTTCCCTCCCTCTCCCCTGGCAAGGCCCCACCACAGGGTGACAGGCCGTTCCAACTGTGGCCGGCTGGGATCCCGATTATTTCAAGTGTCCTCACTGGGGACAGGAAGGACTGTGGAGTCCCTGGACTTATCTCTCAGGCCAAACGTGCCTTCGGTCCCCAGCCCCCCGCCCCTGCACACTCACTGTCGGAGAAGCTGCCGCCCCTCCTTCCACACCAGCGGGCTGTTCTCCAGCGTGACCGACTCCGCGGGGCCATTGGAGACTGGAGAGAAAGGAGGAGGCTGTCTTAGTCGGGCACTGCCTCCTACTCGTCACCTCCTCCATCTTCCTCACTCCTCAGACCCAAATCGGTCCCTGTCACGGGGCCTGCGGCGTCACTTCCTGAGTGTTTGAAACCCCTCTGGCTCCCAGAGATTCCTCCTCCTTGCAGAGCTCCTCAGCTCTCGCCTCCTGTTCCCCAGCCTAGTCCTCACACAAGATAAGGGTTTTAGCTTAAAACCCAGGGCACGCTGTCATCTTCCTACACGGAAAGCTGGCCTGGTCTAAGAGAACAGGCAGACTGGGTGCAAGTCCGCTCTGCTGCTTCCCAGCTGTGACCGTGAGCAGGTCAGTGTCATCTGGGCCTCAGTTTCCTCCACCGAGAAACGAGGCTGATAACAACAGCACCTACCTCTTGGGACTGTTAAGTTAGACAATTTGTTTAGTATTTTACTTGTCAAATATTCACTGGGCATCTACACGGTGCTTACCCCGAGGCCTGGGCTCCATCAGGAAACAAAGACCCTGCCCTCGTGGAACTCACGCTCTATTTGGAGGAGGCTGACGTCAGATAACAATGATCACTGTCAGCCTCGCAGGTTAGGTCTTTACAGTTCCCCTTGGCCAAGCTCCTGCTGTTACCTGGCCCACCCTGCCACGACCTCCCTCCCACACTGTTCACCCAGTCACACCAATTCCCAGTCCCCTAACGCACCCGCTGTCCAGTGTGCATCCCCAGGCATCTGTGCACTCTTCCCTCACTCCCCTCCCAGGGAACTGAGTCCTCTTTCAAGGAGCTTAGACTTTAAGGGACCATGTCTGCCTCACTCTCTGCTGCGTCCCTGATTTGTGACGCAAAGCCAGCACCCCATAAATAAGTTTTCTTTCTTTTCTTTTTTTTTGGCTGAGTGATTGAATGAGAACCCAGTTCAAACGCCACCTTGGGTGACGGCTTCACGGGCTTTCCTACACTTTCCCCAACTAGCGGCAACTGCTAGAAGGATCCCCGAGTGGTTGTGAGTCTGTCTGTATTTCACAGAGGGACGCGGGCAGGACTGGCCCCCAGGCCCAGCACAGTAGCTGGCACGGAGCTGCCCACCGGGGCCGGGCCCTGGGAGCCAGACTCCACCACTCCCGGCCCCGGGGCCAGCTCTGCTCTCTACGCAGCGTCTTCACGCCTCTCCGTCTCACCCAGCTGCAGGGGAGGGCCCACAACGGGGAGGTCCGAGGGTGGGTACCTTGTTCTGACACGTCTGGTTTCTTCTCCCCCTGGTTCAGGTCTGTCCCAAACTTCAGTTTATGATATTTGGCCCTAAAAGAGCAAATGATTAACGAGTAAGAGATGCAGGAGAGCAGACGGGGTCAGCAGTCACCTTGGGAACCTCCAATCCCAGGGTTCTCCTAATCCCCTCTCCTACCCCCGAAGGTGAACTGCTGCCCACCCCCAGAGCCTCACAGAGGCGGTGCCACAGATCGCACGGTGGCGAAGCAGCCCTTCCTCGGAGCCAGGCAGACTAGCTCACTAGCCCAGTCCTGGGAGCTCTTGATTTAGTCTCCCTCTTGAAACCTCAGTTCCTTACCAGAAATAGGGCTGATGATACCCATTAGGCTATTGAAAGGGATAAACAGGATGAGGAATACACAGTATTGGGCACACAGTGGGCCACCACCGTCGTGAGTATTGTCACTGGCTCTATCTTGAATTTCACCTACAATGTCTTAGCCACCGCCCCCCCGCCCCGCCCCAGAACCCTATGGTATTCGGATGGCGAGAAGAGAACGCGTGACCCCAGATCTCCCTTAGCTGGGTGTGAACACAGCCAATGGCCTCTGGACTGTGTGCTCCAGACTGAGTCTCAGACGCAGGACCAGGGAAGGGCAGGAGGGCTCACCTTTCCTGCTTCAGCGCATACTCTAACATCTTGATCCGCCGCACCAGGTCTGTCTTTAGGTTCTCTTGCCCTTTCCTCTCTCCCTGGAGGAAGGCCACCTGAGCCTGGGGTTGGGGGAGACGGAAAGCAAAGGAAGACCGCAGGGCTCAGGCCCACTGGTGGTGGGTCCCTCATGCACTCGCGTGCAGCCCCTGTCACTGCTCCCACAGTGACATGCAACAGACTCTGAGCCAGGGTTCCAGGGAACACAGAGAGGACCAAAGCTGCCATGTTGCCCGAAATGAAAGAGCTTGAGTCCTTAACCCCTGAAATTAAAACGGAGCCAGCTTGGGCCGCACTTGGTGGCTGCCTTTTGGGGAGAAGTGAGGTCAGGGATGAAAGTGGAGAGCAGGGGGAGGCATTAACAGCCTGGACTCCCCCTCACCCGCTGGCAGGTGCCGTCCCTGAGGATGCTGGTGGGGGTGGCGTCCCACTATTCTTACCAAAGCATCTGTCTCTGGGAGGCGTAGGAAGCTACTTCTGGAGCTTAGGGACAAGAGTGGGTGGCTCGGCTCGGCTCCCGCTCCAATGCAGAAGCTGTACTACCCGACCCCCGCTGTCCCACTGACTGCTGCCCCGGGTGAAAGAGATGCGACACAGACATGACCCAGGGCTCCTGCCAAGCTCTTCACACCGTCTGCTGGGTTGGGCTGCCCAGTCTGCTCCGGCCTGTCAACAGGTCGTTTGGAGACACTGAGCCAACGGCCCTCGAGGCAGGATCCTGGCCCCTGCCCATGTTCCAGAAACCCTTTTGCCAAAGCCCGGAGACCAGGGCTCTTCCCTGGCCTCTCCCCAAGTGCTCCGCCGTTTGGCCCCAGACAGCCTGAGTGCCAGCCCAGCTCACACGTGTACTCGCTGCTCGGTCTGAGCCAGGTCGCCAACCTTGTCTAAGCCTCCACGTGGCCCTCTAGAAAGTGGGGCTCCTGAGAGTGCCCTCCCCTCATGTGTCACACTGTTCTTAGTCCAAACCCTAGCACAGAATATGGACTAACTAATGCCGGCTTCTACCTCTCTTGGCATTTTTATTCTCCCTGTCCATTCTTCCACGGCTCCCAAACGGGCCCCGTTCTTCAGCGGAGCTCCGATCCCACTGAGACTGGAGACCAACCAGACAGGAATGAATGTCTGTGGCTTACGGGCCTCTTGCCCTCGCCGCCAGGCGCGCCTTCTTGGTGCCCAGCTCCCTGCACGTCCTGGGCCTGTGGAAGAGCTTCAGAGACTCCACCAGAAGGCTCCAGCCTGGCCCCAGACACCTCCTCTAGGCGGTTCTCAGTCTCAAAGCCTCACCCCAGGCTGTCTGCTCTGGGTAGCCTCCCAGATGCTGCCCCCTACTGCTCTCCCTCCTTTTGGGGCGCACTGGGCCCTGACCTGCTGCCCCATGCACTGTACCCTTAGGCCTGCTAGCACCTCCGTCCTGCCCCAGAGACCAAGTGCCACCCTCAGGTTAGCAGAGAACCTAGGACACACTAAGTAATACCTAGCGCTGGCCAGGGCCCAGGACAATGAGCACACTCACACGCATGCTCACAGACCGCTGGCGGCTCATGAACTGACGTACCCTTCCTGGAGGGCAATCTAGCAGTACCTATAAAAATGTTAAATGTACATTCCTCTTGGTTCCACTTCTAGGAATTTATCCTGCAGGCATATTTGCAATGGCAGGGTTCTTTTTGAATAAATAAAAAGGCACATACATGCATTAATGTATGACAAAAGATCATTCATTCATTTACTCCACAAATATTTACTAAGTCCTAACTATATTTATCAGGTGCTGCTATAAATATTAAAGATACAACATTGAACAGGATGGGGTTTATATTCTAATGGGGGAAATGTAGGACAATCAACAAATAAATATATGTCTTGAAGTATGTAAAAGAAACCTCATCTTCCACAGATACACAAATCCTTAAAAAAAAAAAAAAAGAAACCTCATCTGTCCTTAAGAGAATGGGATCTTTTTCCCCTTAACACTTTTATCAACACAAATATCTGAGGCCAGGTGGGCAGACTACCCACATGTGATCAACATTGCTGAAATGTAAGCTTCTGTCCTTTGTATTTTTTCTTTTTGAAATAAGGTCTCACTCTGTCACCTGGGCTAGAGTACGGTGGCATCATCATAGCTCACAGCAACCTCAAACTTTGGGCTCAAGCGATCCTCCTGCCTCAGCCTCCCGAGTAGCTGGGACTACAGGCAGGTGCCACCACACTGGCTAATTTTTCCGTTTTTAGTAGGGACAGGGTCTCACTCTTGCTCAGGCTGGTCTCGAATTCCTGATCTCAAGCACTCCTCCTGCCTTGGCCTCCTTTATGTGTCTTCTCTGTCCCCCAAATCTACTCTATAAATCATTTCAGAAGGTGGGAACAGAGGTGGAGAAGAAAAAGTTGATTATCAAACACAAGCCCTGAGTTTCTTCATCACGGTCCTCCCTGCCCTTCTGGGCTTCCTCTATGGGTCCTTCTTCCCAGCGCCAGGACAGCCTGTTGAGAGGCTTCACTTGTCCAGACCCACCACTATATAGTGACTGCCCACCATGCATCAGGTGCCATGCAAGGCACTGGGGAGCATCAGGGAAGCCATGTGGGTCCTGCCAGGTGACAGCGACAGGCATGAGCAGCAACAACTCACATACAGCACAGGACTCGGCCCACAATGAGGGAGCAAAGCATGCTATGGGAGGAGGGACAAAGAAGTGACAGTTCAGCTAAGACATGAGGCTGACTAGAAGTGAGCCAGGGGAGAGAAGGGGCTGCTGGCAGAGGGCAGAGGCAAGAGTTGCATGGTGAGCTTAAAGAACTCCAAAGAGGCCGATGCAGCTGCTTGAGAATGTGTAAAGGCTTAGTGAGGAAAGTTCGAGAAGTACGGAAAGACGGAAGACCACACTAACAACTATGAAATTTATCCCAAGAGCACAGGGAACATACTTTGCATGTTACAAAGTAATCCCAGCTAGAACTTGGAGAACTGATGGGAGGGGGGAGTAGGAGATGTCAAACAAGGGGGCAGTCACAGAAATCCAGTGAGAAATGACAGTGGCCTGGACTAGGACGCAGCAATGGACACGGTGACTATGTTTGCTGGGGAAGAAGGTGGAGTCCAGCACCCCACCTGCCTCCCACCCGCTCAGCCACCCTTCACACCCCTGCCGCCTCCTCCAGCCCCGATCTCCCTTCCCCGTTACAGCGCCAGGACCTCAGACTTTGTTGTCCTCTTCCCAGCGCCTCTGGCAGAGGAGGAAGGAAAGAAGATTAGAAAGATGTGGTTGAAGTGTCTCAGGTTGGTGAATCCCACCAGAAAAGGGAAGTGTCAGTGGCCAGCAGACTCTCCCCCACTGCAAAGGCCAGGACCCCACCCCCAACACGCCCCCGCCTGATCTGCAAGGGCCATGGTGGGTGGGTGGGCAGGCAGGTCTGGGATCTGGAAGTCCTCCTCGATCCACATCCACCCACTGCCACTCCCTCTGGCCAGACTAGCAGAACAGACGCCTGCCAAACCTTTCTGACACCTGGCTCATGCACTGCCTTCCTCCTCTCTGGCTGTTCCCTCTCTCCAGCAAGGGAACATTTAAAGGTTTCCCAAGGAGTCCTTGAATCTCAGTCTTCCCAGGAGCTGAGTCCTCTCTGAATTAGCAGCTTTATGTCCCAGCGCCCTAAGAGCAGTTTCTCATTCAGTGCCATCTAGCCATCTAGCTCTGCATCTTCTAAATGCCTCCTTCCCAAGCTTCAGCGGCTCCCGGAGACATGAGTCCCCAGTGGACCACTCAGAACACCCCAGGATACTGGAAGTGGGGAGGAGACAGCTCAATACCTTCTCCGCTAGCACTCCACTTATCACGGCTCCCTGTCGCTGCTACTACACGAACGTTAAGTTCAGATCCCTTCCCGAAAGGTTCCTCTTGTCCTCAAAGAGCTTCCCTTCTCAGAGGTGCCACAGAACATGTGCAGTGAACGTGTATAGCTCTCTGCAGCTTCCTGCGCAAGCCAGCTTCCTCTGCTGGCCTGGAAGTTTCAGAAGGGCAGAAACCACATCACCTACTTCTGGGAAGCCCCCCACCTAGCAAATTCCTGCTCATTTAGGACTGCAGCTATGCCACCTCCCTGCTCCACACTTTGGGTGCCTCTTGGCAGGACCTTATAAAAGACAGCCTTCTGTGCCACGTACACACAGGTACCGAGCACGTTTTAATACCTGCAGCAGGTCTTCCGCTAGCAGCAGCTGTAGTCAGCTCTTTGGAGAAAAGTTATTCAGAGTTCATCAAAACAATCTGACTGGTCTGGATCTTAAAGGATCTCACAGGGGAAGTCACACTCGCTGTAAGCAGTAAGTGCTCAAGGAAAAGTATGTAAAAAGAAGTGCCCCCATGGGGTGTAAACTGGTGGAGCATCATGCTGGAGCCGATCACCATTTGATAAACACACCTACTCTGCTATCCCACCCACCTGTTCAGCCTTATCCTCACCTGGGCATAAAGGACATTCTCTGCAGCCGTGCTTGATGGGGAGACACTAGAAAGAGTCCAAAAGTCCATCAAGAGGGGCCAGACTTGGCCGGGCGTGGTGGAGGATCGCTTGGGGCCAGGAGTTCGAGACCAGCCTGAGCAAGAGCAACCCCATCAAAAGAGAGTGAGAAAGAGAGAGCGCGCGCAAGAGAGCTAGAGCTCTGTGCTGAGTGCAAGGAACACGAAAACACATTATGTGAAAAAAAGTCACAAAATGATACGTATAGGCTGATCTCATATATTATACACACACAACCAAACTACTTTTATAACAATAACAGTTGGGGAGGAGTAGGAAAGGGACAAGGGGGGTGACTTTCCTTATTCAGTCACATATATGTGCACACACACATACACCCCTCTGAGATGTTTGAATTTTTACCAACGTAGAAGAACAAAAGACATAAGTGATGATGCTAAAGCCTAGATGAGAGAGAGATTAACTGGGAGTTCCCCATAAGTTCCTCTCAAACTCCAAGAAGGGTCATTAAGTTAGGGGATAAACACATCTTTCCTCTGGCATCTCAGAGATGAAAGGTGGTAGGTATGGTGGGTGCTCTAGGGTGCGTTGTGCGAAATCGCACAGGCCCACAGCTCTGCTATGATTGCTTGGGTGACCCTGGGGAGGCCACTTCGGTTCCCCGAACCAGTGCTGTCATCTGTACTGGGTGGCAGAGAGGTATAGAGCACGGGCTTTAAAGACCATAGACCAGCCCTGCCACTCATCTGCTGGGATCCTAGATAAATCATTCACCCTCTCAAAGCCTCCATTTCCTCTTCTGAATATTTTTTAAAAAGGGAGGAGAGGGAGAAAATATCATTCCCCCTCCCACAGTGTTGCAAGAATTAAATCATAGCATGGATGCATCTAAAGTGCTTAATACAGGCCGGGCGCAGTGGCTCACGCCTGTAATCCTAGCTCTTGGGAGGCCGAGGCGGGCGGATTGCTCAAGGTCAGGAGTTCAAAACCAGCCTGAGCAAGAGCGAGACCCCGTCTCTACTATAAATAGAAAGAAATTAATTGGCCAACTGATATATATATGTAAAAAATTAGCTGGGCATGGTGGCGCATGCCTGTAGTCCCAGCTACTCGGGAGGCTGAGGCAGCAGGATTGCTTGAGCCCAGGAGTTTGAGGTTGCTGTGAGCTAGGCTGACGCCACGGCACTCACTCTAGCCTGGGCAACAAAGCGAGACTCTGTCTCAAAAAAAAAAAAAAAAAAAAAGTGCTTAATACAGTGCCCCAGACACAGTATGTGCTCAATAAATAGCTGCTACAGTTATCGCTGAGTGAGCTAAGACATTGGCTCTGCCTATACAATGGAGCGTTGAGATCTCATGAGATGTATGCTGGGGAAGAGCTCGGAGATCAGGACACGAAAGTGAGAAGCATGTACATAAAGACCCCTCACCCACCTCAGCCCCAGCCTGAGCTACCGCAAGCTAAGATCCCCGTGGGGGCAGGAGAATGCCTGGAGGCTTTCTTTATTCCTCTTGCCAACAAAATTCTAATCAGTGATGGATATAGGTATCTGCTTCAACTAGACAGGAAACAGCAAATCAGAAGCGGAAAGATGGGCTGGCTAGAGCAAGTACTGACAAATTCCACTAATGACACCCCAGCCCAGGAGCCCTCAGACTCCTGGTGGCCCATCCCTGGATCCTTTCAAATCCTCACATCTCTGATTCCCAGGCTCCTATGACACTCACTGCAAATGGACCCAACTCTCCTAGAAGTCACAAAGCCCAGCCCACTCCTCTTCTATACATCATTCCAGGCCATGGGGTCATTTCCCAGAAACTTTCACAAACACATCTTCCCCCCAGGGTCCCTCTGAAATGTCTCCTTGTGCTGCCTTCCAGCTCTACAAAATGCTCCCCCTGATACATCGCCGCAGGGTACCCCATCCCTCCTCATTGGCCCCATCCCAGGACTCTTCATATCCATATTGGATATGCTGGACCCACCCCGCCTCCAGTTCAGGGCTCTGTACCCGACATCCTGCACACACCCCCATCCCAGAGCCAACGCGGCCGATCCTCCGCACTCCCAAATTGGCGATTCCATGCTCAAGCTCTCCCAGCCAGACGTACCTAGGGTATGTCCTCTGCCCTGCCCACGCTTCCACCCCAAGGACCCCCTCGTTGCACTTTGTAGCCAGCCACACATGTCTGAGCTCCCCCAAGTTTCTCCCTCAGAGGGGAGGGCACACACTTTCATCCTGAGACCCTTCGAAACCCTCCTTCTCCCCCAGACTCCGTACACAGCCATCTTTCAGTGTCCCCCATTCAAACGCCCCGAAACACACCCCATTCCAGGCTCCCGACTTCCTCTCCCCACTCCCGGCTCCCCGCCAGGACCTGCGTCCTCCAAGACGCTCCCCTGTACCCCGCCACCAACACGCACCGGTCGGCGGGGCGGGGGCGGGAGACCGTCTGCACCCTGCGAGCTTAGCTCGTTCCCAAGCGAGACCACTCGGGCCCTTCCCGCACCCCTCCAGCTCCTCTCCACACCCTTCCCCGAGTTCTCCTAGGCTCCCCTCGGGTCCCGAGTCGCCCGTCTCCGGAGACCCCTGCCGGCGCGCTCGGTCCCACTCCCACTCCCAGCGGTTCTGAGCCCTTCGAACCTTTCCCTCGGCCGGTCCCGGTCCGTCCCTCCCACTCCCGGGTCCCCACACTCCCGCCTCGAGCCGTCCGGGTCCCCTCGGGTCCCCTCCCGCCCCGGGTCCCCTCAGGAGCCCCCTCGGACGGCCCCTCACTCGCTCTCCGGGCCCGTCGCGGTCCCCTCCCGCCCCCCCCGGCCGTCCCGACGGCCATTGCTCCAAGATGGCGGCGGCGGCGGCGGCGGGTGAGGCCGGGTCGGGCCGGGTGGGGGGCGGGGGTCCCGGGGCGGCGCTCACCTGCAACTCGGCGCGCTCGGCCTCCCAGCGGGCCTTCTCGGCCTCAAAGCGCGCCCACTCGTGCTGGATAAAGTGCAGGATCCCGGGCAGGCTCAGGGGCTCGGGGCCGGCCGTGGGCCCGGGGCTGCCTCCGCCGCCGCCTCCCTTCCCCGCCGGGCCGGGCCCGGGGGCAGGGGCAGTGACCGGGGCAGCCCCAGTCGGGCCGGGGCCGGCGCCTGAGCCAAGCGGGCGGCAGGAGGAGGCGGCGGCGGCGACCGCGGCGGCCGCTCGCTCCTCCATCATGGAGGCCCCGGGGCCGGCCCGCGCGCCCACTGTGCCTCGCGCGCCTGCGCGGCCGCGCCAACGCCCCCCCCCCTTCGCGCGCCCGGCTGAGGACAGGGAGGGGGTGGCGGCGGCGAGCACGAGGCCGGGCGCGAGCCTTGCCCACCTTGGTCGACCCCAAAGATGAGCGTGCCTGGGGGGTGGGGGGGGTGGACAGAGGCAGGGCGGGGCGCACGCCCCGAAGTGGGCAAAGGAGACCCAGGCCCCGGTCGACGGTCACCCTGGCAAAAGCGAGACTTAGGAAGGGGCTGCTTTCTGCCCCCCTCCTCCCACTTCGTCCCGATGAAAGAATCTTACCCCTTCCAGACCCAAATAACACTCTCCTGGACACTTTCCCTCTTTGACAGAAGGGGCGATCACTAGAGGTAGTTTGAACGGTGGCCCCATCCTCTCTGATTTCTGGCCAGGTCGGTTGTCATGGTAACCCTTCTCAAGCCTGGAGCCCCCAGTTTCCCCACCCTTCCACCTTTGTGGTTATGAAGCTCCAAACCTCTCTGGAATCCACACCAGGCGAAGGTTGCTAAGGTAACCTAAGTCCCTGGTGGTCCTTCTGCTCCTGCCCTCATCAGTACTATGGCAACCCCTCCCCACCAAGCACTCAGGTAGAAAGGACCCCAGCCCCAAGGACACTGATCTCCAAGAGAACACCTCTTCCCCAACCCTTCCCTCGTAGCCACCCTGCTGATATTACCATGGTAACCATCTTCTATGGACCAAATCTACCAGGTGTTTTTATTTAGAGGAGGAGCTGCTCTGCTGAGGCTCAGTTGCTATGGTTACAGGGCCTGGACCATCCCCAGGGAAGTGAGAAACAGGCAAGGCCAAGCCCTGGTTACTATGGTAACAGGGCAGCCACCCCCTCCCCCTTTTCCAGTGACTCTAGGAACCAGGCCCACCAAAGTACAGGACGTTTTAAGATTCTGTCTCAGGAGGCCGGGCGCTGTGGCTCACGCCTGTAATCCTAGCTCTTGGGAGGCCGAGGCGGGTGGATTGCTCAAGGTCAGGAGTTCAAAACCAGCCTGAGCAAGAGCGAGACCCCGTCTCTACTATAAATAGAAAGAAATTAATTGGCCAACTGATATATATATAAAAAAAAAAAATTAGCCGGGCATGGTGGCGCATGCCTGTAGTCCCAGCTACCCGGGAGGCTGAGGCAGAAGGATCACTCGAGCCCAGGAGTTTGAGGTTGCTGTGAGCTAGGCTGATGCCACGGCACTCACTCTAGCCTGGGCAACAAAGTGAGACTCTGTCTCAAAAAAAAAAAAAAAAAAAAAAAAAGATTCTGTCTCAGGGTGGAGCATATCTAGGGAGGGAGGGGTTGTCATAGTAACAGCTTCTGTCACTTCTAGCCCCACTTTTCTGAACATTCATGAGAGAGGGATGGTTGATTATAGGTTGCTATGATAACTGACATCCCTACCACCCACCCTGCCCCACTCCTGAGCTGCCCCAGGTGGTGCTCAAGCTTATGAGACTTCAAAAGAAAGAATTCCCTGACCTTCTAGTAGCCATTTTTGTGGGTAAGATGAAATTGTGCTCTAGTACACAGAATTGGCTAATTCGGGGTCTTCTGGTTCTTTCCTCAGCAGTGCAACTGAGCTGGGCTGGAACTGCCCTCCTGGAACTCCCCGAGCCTGCAACCTAGGAGGTAAGAAGTCCCTTGGTGTCATCAACACTCACATGGAAACTGCCCTTTCCTTATTCCCAAAGGCTTTCCCACATATCTCCCATTTTTTTCTTCCCGTCACATTCCCATTCTCCAGATGCAGGGGCTGAGGCTCAGGCTTGAAGGGAGTCTGGCCACTTAACATTGTTTTGTGGGGAACAAGAGACAATAAGGTCTCAGCTTAGCTGAGTCCCCTGTTTTCTCTCATGCCCCTGCTGCCTTCCTGCCATATCTGTAGGTTGTGTGTTTGGATTTTATCTTCTAGATGGCCAGCCCAATGACTGCCTTGTTCATTCTGTGAGAACACCCCATAAATATGTTTGTTGTGTTAATGGGTTGAATTAATTAACGTGCTGTATTTAGCTTTGAAAGCACCTGCCAATTTCGGGCTGGGGAAGTCTCCCCAAAGATGGTCTGAGAGTTGGGCCTTCTGCGTGGACCCCAGAGAAACAGCAGAGTTTAAAGCACAACTCTGGGGCCAGCTTCTTAGATCAAATCCTGGGTCCACCACTTCCCAGCCATGTGACCTTGAGCAAGCGGCTTCATTTCTATGTGTCTCAGTTTCCTCATCTTTAATTGTGATCATAACATGAGGATTAAATGTACACAAAGTACTTAGGACAAGACCTGGCCCATGGTGAGCCAATAGAATTGTTAGTATTATTTCTCTCGATTCAGAAAAGTATACAACATTCAGACCTTCAAAATCATTATTTCAGCCACCTTGCCCCAATGAAGGGCTTTGTAGTCCTTATAGTTCCTACCTTACAGTTGGTGAAGCCAGGACTAACCTTGTCAGGGTACTAGATAATTCCTTTCTCCTTCTGAGTTTCCCTCACACCCCCATCAGCAGGTGGCTTCTCTTCATCCGGCCATCAGACCCACTAGTATCTGAGTGCCTGGTTTCTGTCCTTCCCTCGTGGGCACCTCCTGGCCCAGAGTCAGCCAGACAGAGTGGCGAGAGCCAGGGCCTTGGAAGTGGACACCTGGGTTCTGGTCCCTGTGTCCTTCCCATCTCTGAGCCCAGGTTCCCTATGGTAACAGTTCAAGTCCCTCATTCATTCAACACCTATTTATTAAGCACCTGCTATATGCCAGGTGCTGGGCTGTGCTCTGGGGATACAGCAGGAAACAGAACAGACAAAACAGATCCCCACCTTCCATGGGGACTCTGACAGTAACCAGGACAAGTAAAACCCACATGATAACTTCTAGGGGAGAAAAAGAACGCAGGGATGGGGGACAGGAAGTATGGGGTGACAGGGAGATGCAGTTTTAAATAAGATGGCCAAAGGAAGGGTTCAGTTTCACTGGAAGGTGACATTTGAGCAAAGATCTGCAGGCCATGGGGGAGGAGCCACGTGGATACCTGGGGGAAGAGGAGCATCCTGCCCTTTTTTTTTTTTTTATTTTGTGCCTCTGGCCCTTCTGCCTTCCTCTACGTGATAACACAAGAAGGCCCTTGTCAAATGATATTGGACTTCCCAGCCCCTAGAAATGTAAGAAATAGATTTCTTTATAAATTATCAGTCTGTGGTATTCTATTATAGTAACACAAAAATGGACCAAGACATACCATTTGATTCACTTTTTTCTAGGAAGTGTTTCCACAGAAACCTAATATGCAAACAAAGACTTTTTCAAGAGGACACTCATCATAACTGTTACTTGTAATCTCAAAACTAAAACCATCTAAGGGTCAGGGTGGTGGCTAATGCCTACAATCCCATACTGTGGCAAGAAGATCTTTTGAGCACAGGAATTTGAGACCAGCTAAGCAACACAGCAAGAGATCCCAACTCTACAAAAAATAAAAACTTAGCTAGGCTTAGTGGTGTATGCCTCTAGTCCCAGCTACTCAGGAGGCTGAGGCAGGAGTGTTGCAGTAAGCTATGATGACACCACTGCACTCCAGACCGGGCAACAGAAGGGGACCCTGTCTCAAAAAAAAACAAACCATTAATGGTCCCCACAAAAAAGACTAATCAAATAAATTACAGCACATTCATTCCTTAGACTATGTAGTTATAGAATCATAAATTCAGAGAATATTTAATAATATGAAAGTACTCCTGACATATTAGTAAATGAAATAAAGGAATACACAGAACAATATACAGTAGGGTCAGAATAACAACATACATTTACCTTACCCAAATTCTACTGTATATGCCAACAACTCTAGTCTCCCCTCTTGCCCTTCCTCTTCACACTAGAACCCTGGAGTCTCAATCTCAAGAAAAGGGAAAGAGAGAAAATGCAAACTCTTTACTTTTAACCCCTAAAGGCTCAGGTCCTAGTCACTGAAAAGTGATTTGAAGACTCTAAGGTAATTGACTGCATTAGACATTTATCTCACAACTTGGTGACTATAAAAAAACCTAACCTCACATATTTACCACATGTAAAAAAACAGCATAATATACATACACATATAATTACAAACACGCACACACATTAAAAACCACAAAATACCAAATGTTAAGATCTCTTGGAATAGAGAAATTATAGGGATTTTAACTTTACCTATGCAATTCTGAATTTTACAAAGAGAAAAACACTACCTTAAAGTATGGTCAAAATATCATTTGATTTTTTTTTTTTTTTTTTTTTGAGACAGAGTCTCACTTTGTTGCCTAGCTAGAGGGAGTGCCATGGCGTCAGCCTAGCTCACAGCAACCTCAAACTCCTGGCTCAAGCAATCCTCCTGCCTCAGCCTCCCGAGTAGCTGGGACTACAGGCATGCGCCATCATGCCCGCTAATTTTTGTATATATTTTAGTTGGCCAATAATTCTTCCATTTGTAGTAGAGATGGGGTCTCGCTCTTGCTCAGGCTGCTTTCAAACTCCTGACCTCGAGCAATCCACCCGCCTCGGCTCCCCAGAGTGCTAGGATTACAGGCATGAGCCACTGCCCCAGCTTTTATCATTTGATCTTTAACATTACTTTCAACCTTGAGATTCTAGTCTTCCTGACTTAGATTTGTTATTGTGTTAATACTCATTTCACTGTTCGGTAACTTATTAATCACATATAAAGTTGCTTCTGATACTTTTATATTGGAGTTATTAAAATACG